GGTTCCACGTGGAGATCTAGGTGGGATTTTGGGAAGAACTATTGGGAGAGGAGCTGGGATGGAATTCCCAGAGAAGCTGCGATCCCTGGGAGTGTCCAAGCCCAGGCTGATCCAGCAGGAAACATCTCAACCCATGGCAGAACTTCACAACTTCTAAAACTTCCCAAACCATACCATGATTCCACGTGGAGACTTGGGTGGGATTTTGGGAAGGTTGTGGGATGGAATTCCCAGAGAAGCTGGGATTCCTGGAAGTGTCCAAGCCCAGGCTGATCCAGCAGAAAACATCTCAACCCATGGTAGAACATCTACAACCCCTTCCAACCCAACCCATTCCATGATTCCATGTGGAGATCTAGGTGGGATTTTGGGTGAGGAGCTGGGATGGAATTCCCAGAGAAGCTGGGATCCCTGGAAATGTCCAAACCCAGGCTGATCCAGCAGAAAACATCTCAACCCAAGGTAGAACTTCACAACATCTACAACCCCTTCCAACCCAACCCATTCCATGATTCCATGTGGAGATTTGGGTAAGATTTTGGGAAGGTGGTGGGATGGAATCCCCAGAGCAATTGCAGTCCCTGGGAGTGTCCAAGCCCAGGCTGGTCCAGCAGAAAATGCCCCAATCCAAGGTAGAACTTCACAACATCTACAACCCCTTCCAACCCAACCCATTCCATGATTCCATGTGGAGATCTAGGTGGGATTTTGGGTGAGGAGCTGGGATGGAATTCCCAGAGAAGCTGGGATCCCTGGGAGTGCCCAAGCCCAGGCTGATCCAGCAGGAAACATCTCAACCCATGGTAGAACATCTACATCCCCTTCCAACCCAACCCATTCCACACCTCCCAACCTCACCCCATGGGGACATCGGGACTGGATCCCCCAACCCCAAAATGCCCGAGATGACCCCAAAGCTCACCTGGTCACCCAGGGCAGCCTGGATGAAGCTCAGGAGGACCTCGTAGGTCTCTCGTGTCTCCTTGGTCTTGGGCTTGTAGATGATGCCCACCATCTCATCGATGCCCTCGGAGAGCAGAGTGTAGCCCTTCATCTTGTTGATGTCGTGCCTGTCCTCGTCCCTCTTCCTCCTCCTGGAAAAATCGGGGGAAACTGGGAATTAGGGATGCTCAGGGATCAAATCCTGCTTTTCCCGACCCATTTTTTCCCCAAAAAACACGATAAAAAATTGATTTATTTTCATTTTTTTGTGATGATTTCGGTGGCTCCCAGTTGGGGTTGGTTTGAGGTTTTGGATTTTCCAACCTCAAAAATGTTGAGTTGGAAAAGGGGAAGCTCCAAAAAAAAAAAGAGATTTTTGGGGATATTTGGCACCAAGAAAAGCAATTTATTTGGGATATTTGGCACCAAGAAATGCAGATTTTTGTGGGATATTTAGCACCAAGAAAAATTTTTTTTTTGAGAAAATAGGGCACCAAAATAAGAGATTTTTTGGGAAATTGGGCACCAGGAAAAGTAGTTTTTTTGGGCTATTTAGCATCAAGAAAAATAGATTTTTAAAAAATATTTAGTACCAAAACCCCCGAATATTTTGGGATACTCAGCACAAAAAAAACCAAATTTTTTTGGGGAAAATGAACCACCAGCAAAAATCAACTTTTCCAAACCCAAACTGGAACCTCTCCCACCCTTTCTTCCATGATCCCAGGATGAAAATTCCCAATTTTTCTGCTCACTTGGCTCTCCTCTCCTCCTGCATTTGGGGTTTGGTCCTCTGGGCCTTGTCCCCCATGCGGGTCCCCTCCAGTTTCCCCACCAGGGACAGAACCTCCCCCGTGGGCTCGTCCCGGCGCGTGCGGTCGATCAGGGAGCGGTCGGCCTGGAGCACCAGGTTGGAGTTCTGGGGGAAAAAACGGGAAAAATGGGATTAAAATGAGGTTAAAATGGGGTAATATGGGATTAATATGGGATAAAATGGGATTTATATGGGGGGAAATGGGATTAAAATGGGGTAAAATGGGATTGAAATGGGATGCCCCATTGGATCAGGGAGTGGTTGGCTTGGAGCACAAGGTTGGAGTTCTTGGGAAAAATGGGATTAAATTGGATTAATATGGGGTAAAACGGGATTGAAATCCTGAAATGGGGCTTGGGAATCCCAAAATGAATGTGGGGGGGTCCCAAAATGGGGCTGAGAGAGAACCAAGGGGTGCCAAAATGGGATTGGGGATGTCAAAATGGGACAGGGGAACCCAAAATGGGATTGAGAGGGGCCCCATAATGGGACAGGAGATGCCAAAATGGGGCTGGGGAACCCCAGATTGAGACTGGGGAATCCCAAACTGGGGCTGAGAGAAGTTCAAGGGATCCCCAAATGGGACCGGGGATGCCCAAACGGGACATGGGGTCGCAAAATGGGGTCCGAGGTCCCAGTACGAGGCTGAGGGTCCCATAACGGGTCCCAAAACTGGGGCGGAGGCAGCTCACGCTACCGGGGTGCGCCCATGGTAACGGGATGGGCTCACGGCACCGGGGTGCGCTCACGGTAACGGGTTGGGACTCAGGGCACCGAGCGCGCACTCACCGCCTTGTACTCATACTGCAGGCTACGGGCGGTGACATCCGCCATGGCTGCACCGGGAACGGGGCCCCGAACGGGGCCGGGAACGGGAACGGGAGCGGGGCCGGGAACTGGCCCTGATAAAGCCGCGCCGCAGCCGCACCGGAAGCACCCTCAGCAGAACTTCCGGGTTAGGCGGAAACGCGCCTGCGCACGCGAGAACGAGGATCCGCCCATTACTCATTCTGATTGGTTGATACGCGATAGACCCCGCCTCATACGCCGGGAGCTGCCTGTGATTGGTTGGACCGCCAGCCCGCCTGATTTTGATTGACGTTTAAACGCCTGAAGGCGGTGGGGCGGGACAGGAGGCGGGGTCAGCGCGAAGTTTGCCGCTTCCTATTGGTTGATAATAGATAAAACCACGCCCACGTGGCTCAAACCGCGCCCCTTTCCGGTGAGGGCACACGTGGTGCCCACGGGGGGGCGGGTGCGGCGACACCACGAATTGTCCCCGAGGAGGGCATCGAGGGGTCCCTGGGCATTTGGGGGTCTCTGGACATTCAGGGGTTTCTGGGTGTTGGGGGATCCCTGGGCATCGAAGGAGTCCGTGGGCATTTGGGCGTCCCTGGGCCTGAAGAGGTCCCTGGGCATTGAAGTCTCCTGGGCATTGAGGGGTCTCTGGGCACTGAGGGGTCCCTGGGCATTTAGGGATCCTTGGACATTGAGGGGGTCCCTGGACATTTAGGGGTACCCGGGCATTGAGGGGTCTGTGGGCACTGTGGGGTCCCTGAGTGCCCACCCAGGGTTGTGTCCCCATTCATTTTGGGGTGCCAGGGGACACGGGCAGCGCTTTTTCTTCCCTGCTTTTCTAAGTACTGGTTCCCTCTCCCCAGTGCCCCCCCCTCCGCACTGACTTTGGGGTCACAGCTCAGTGCCCACTGCGGTGCCCTCGTTATCTCGGCCCCATTAATTAACAGAGCGCGGTGCCAGCGCCTGGAGAGGTGCCTGGTGGCCGTGCCAGCTCGGCCATGTCCCAGCGGGGGTGGCACCACGTGGCACTTTGTCTTGTCCCTGGAGGTGACCTGGCTGTGCTGCCACACCTGGTGCCCACCTGGGGTTTGTCCTCGTCCTCTCCAGGAAGGGATCCTGGGCACCGGGATGGCACCAGGGTGGCACTGGGATGGCATCGAGGGTGGCACTGGGATGGGACGGGGCTGACACTGGGGTGGCACCGGGAATGGCACTTGGATGGCACTGGGGGTGGCATTGGGATGGCACCAGGATGGCACTGGCCAAACTGGGATGAACTGGGATGAGCTGAGCTCATCTGGGATTGGTCAAACTGGACTGAACTGGGCTGAACTGAGCCAAACTGGGATAGGCCGAGCCTGGTTAAGCTGGGCTGAATTGAGCCAAACTGGAGTGGGTAAAACCAGGCTGAGCTGAGCCGAGCCAGGCCAGTAAAGCCAGGCTGGACTGACCCGGGTTAAACCAGACTGGGCTGAGTCCAACTGGGTTGAGCTGAGCCTGGTTAAGGTGGCCTGAACTGGGCTGAGTCCAACCAGGACACTCCAAAGTGGGCCAAGCCTGGTTGAGCCGAGCCTGGCCAGTGGGGCTGAACTGGGCTGAACTGGACTCAGCTCAATCAGGACACTCCAAACTGGGCCGAGCCTGGTTAAACCAAGCCAGGCCAGTGGGCTGAAGTGGGCTGAGTGGTTCTGGATGGAACCCAAACCAAGCCGAGCTGAGCTGGGCTAAGCCTAGTTGAGCCAACTGGTTCCAGTAAGACCCGACTGGTTCCGAGCAGTTCCGATCCATCAGACCCTCCCCGAGCAGTCCCGATCCTACGAGAGCGGACCCGAACGGTCCCGATCTGACCCGAGCGGCTCCGATCTGACCGGACCCGAACGGTCCGGACCTGACCCGAGCGGCTCCGATCTGACCGGACCCGAACGGTCCCGATCTGACCCGAGCGGCTCCGATCTGACCGGACCCGAACGGTCCCGACCTGACCCGAGCGGCTCCGATCTGACCCGACCCGACCCGAGCCGACCCGAGCCCCCTCCTCTGAGGGGGTCCGTGACGTCACGGGCGGGGCGGCGCCGCTCGGGGCCGCGCGGCGCGCTCCCCTCTCGGCCGCTCCCGCCTCCCGCGCCCCGGCCGGGCCCCCCCCGCGCCCCCCGGAACCCCCGCCCCGCTCCGCCGCCTCCCTCCGCCGCCCCGCCCGGGCCCCCGCCCCGCTCCGCCGCCGCCCGCCGCCCCGGCCGGGCCCCCCCAAACCGCCCCCCCGCCCCTCACGGCCGCCTCCCGCCCCGCCGCCGCCGCCGCCGCCGCCGCCGCCGCCGCCGCCGCCGCCGCCGCCGCCGCCGCCGCGCCCTGAGGTGAGTGCGGGCCCCCCCCCCGCCCCGCCCCGGTATTGTTGTGGCGGAGCTGCGGGGGTGGGAGGAGGAGGGGGAGGCGCTTTGTTCCTCCCGGTACCGGGGATCGCCACCGGCTCCCCCCCCACCCCCGCGATCCGCCCGTGGATGGGGGGGCCGGAATCGCCCCCTCCGCCGCTCGGAGCCGTCGGTGCAGCGGGAAATCCCCCCCACGGTAACGGCAGCGGGGAGCGGGGGGTGCCGGGGGCGCGTGGCTCGGGCGGGCAGCGCCGCGGGGAGCTGGGGTGGCACCGTGTGGGGACCCTGGGGTGGCAGCGTGTGGGGACCCTGGGGTGGCACCGTGTGGGGACCCCCCCGGCCGGGCCCCTTCGGGCACTCCCGGAGTATCCAGCGCCGAACTTGGGCACCGCGGGGCCGCCGGCCTGGCTGTGTGTGGCACCCCGAGGGTGGCTGTCCCCGCTTTGGGGACCGCGGCCGTGCCCCTGGCACCCCGGCCATGCCCTGGGCACGCCGTTGGTGCCCCGTGGCCTGTGGCACCGTGGCCGTGCTTTGTCCCTGTCGCCGTGCCTGTTGCAAGCCCAGCTGTGCCTGTTGAGCCCCAGCCGTGCCCACGGCAGCTTGGCCGATCCCGTGGCACCCCAGCTGTGCCCAGGGCACCCCAAACTGGCCTGTGGCACCCCAGATTTGCCTAGGGTGCCCCGGCTGTGATCGTGACACCCCGATTTTTGCCCGTGGTACCCTGGCCAGGCCTGTGACACCCCCCCAATCTTTTCCCGTGGGACCCCCGACTCTCCTCCCTATGGCACCACAGCTGGCACCCCAGATGTGCCCGTGACACCTCGGCCATGTCCCTGGCACCCCAGATGTGCCCCTGACATCCCAAATACCCCAGATGTGGCCGTGACACCCCAGCTGTGCCCATGGCACCCCAGATGTGCCCCTCACATCCCAAACGTGGCTGTCACACCCCAGATGTGGCCGTGACACCCCAACTATGCCCTTGGCACCCCAGATGTCCCTGTGACACCCCAGATGTCCCTGTGGCATCCCAGCTGTGGCTGTCACACCCCAGCTGTGGCTTTCACACCCCAGATATGTCCGTTGCACCCCAGCTGTGCCAGTACCACCCCAGCGGTTCCTGTCACACCCCAGCTGTGGCTGTCACACCCCAGATATGGCTGTCACACCCCAGATGTGCCCATCACACCCGAGCTGTGCCAGTGCCACCCCAGCTGTGGCTGTCACACCCCAGAGGTTCCTGTGACACCCCAGCCGTGCCCATCACACCCCAGCTGTGCCCGTGCCCCCCTCCCCCCCGCCCCAGGAAGCCCGGCCGGGGGTGTCCCCCATTCCCACGGCCCTTCCCGTCCCCCCACCCTCCCGGAAATCCTTCCCGAGCCGTCACCGGGGCCCCCCCAAGCCCCCCCGGCTTCCTGCTTCCCGCCGGCCGGGGCTGAACAATTCCCGGCCGCATCCTGCCCGCCCCGGGGCACCCTCGGGGCACCCCCGGCGGCACCGGGGGGTCCCGGGCAGGACGTGGGGGGCGGGAAGCGGCCGCTCCTTCCCCGGGGCGTGGGGTGCCCCCGGCCTCGTGACACCGCGGCCTCAATGCCGCCTTGTGCCCGCGCCGCCCGCGTGACCGCGCCAGCGCCGCTGCCCCGTGGCACTGAGGGGGCCCCGGCGTGGCCGTGTCCCCTGGCAGGGACCCCGCGGTGTCCCCAGCGCCGCCCCGGTGCCATGGCCGTCGTCGCCGTGCTGCTGGTCCTCGTCACCGCTGCCAGCGGCGCTGCTGGCACCCCGGGGGCGTCGTGGAGCGCTGTGCCCAGGAGGACCGTGCCCTACGAGGGTGAGTGCAGGGGACTGGGGACGGGGCGGGGGCTGCTGTCACCAGCTCGGGTGGCTTTTGTCCTGTCCCTTCCCAGACAGTGTTGGGTGGGTGTCCCCAAAACTGGGCTGTGGAGGGACACGTGGGGGTGTGCCAGATGTGCCATCCCCAGTCCTGTGCCAGCACCTGGGGACCACTGCCCCGTGCCGTGTCCCTTGTCCCATCCCTGTGCTGTGTCCCCTGTCCTATCCCTGTCCCCATCCCTCTGCCAGGTCCTTTGTCCTGTCCCTCCTCCATGTCCCCTGTGTCCGTACCCTGCCACCACCCTGTCCCATCCGTCCCATCCGTCTGCGTGTCCCTTGTCCCATCCCTCTGCCATTTCCTGTCCCCACGCCCTGCCATCTTCCTGTCCCGTCCCTTGGCCATGTCCCCTGTCCCCATCCCTCTGCCATGTCCCCCTGCCCTGCCAGCACCCCGAGGTTCTGTCCTTGTCCCGTGCCAGCAGTGTCTGTCCCTGCCCCGTGCTGTCACCCTGTGTCCCCATGCCGTGCCACATTCCCCTGTCCCCATGTGGTGGCAGTGCCCCCTGTCCTCTATCCCTGTCCCATGCCACTGTCCCCATGCCTGAGACTTCAGTCCCTTCACTGTGTCACTGTCCCCATGCTGTCCTCCTGCCATGTCCCTTGTCCTGACACCCGGAGCTGTCCCTGTGCCGTGTCCCTTGTCCCCACTCCTTTGCTGTGTCCCTGTCCCTGTGCAGTGTCCCTTGTCCCCACTCCTTTGCTGTGTCCCTGTCCCTGTGCAGTGTCCCTTGTCCCCACCCTGTGCCGCCCCCGTGCCGTGCCAGCCCCGTGTCCCTGTCCCCGCCCGGGGCCCTGGCGCTGTCCCCTCAATGGTTCCTTTCTGCAGAGCCCGGGGGTGGCCGGGGGGCACGGGGGGGCACGGGGGGGTCCCTGCAAAGGCCACTGTGTTCGGTGACAAAGGGACCTTTGTGTGCCATGGGGCCGGGGGTGGCCGGCAGGGGCGGGGGGTGCCCTCGGGGGTCCCTGCCCTGGGTCCCCTTGTCCCCAGAGAGCTGCGGGGGGGGTTCCCAGCTTGGTGTCCCCACAGAGCTGCAGGGGGGGTCCCCAAGTTCCCACAGAGGTACAGGGGGGTGCCAGCCTGGTGTCCCCACAGAGCTGTGGGTGGCATCTGGCAGGGGTTGGGGGTGCTCTGGGGTCCCAGCCTGGTGTGCCCCCATTCTGTGCTGTCCCATCCCTCTGTCCCTGTCCCCACAGAGCTGTGGGTGGCATCTGGCAGGGTTGGTGGGTGCTGTGGGGTCCCAGCCCGGTGTCCCCCCATTCTGTGCTGTCCCATCGCGCTGTCCCTGTCCCCACAGAGCTGCAGGACACTGCCAAGCGTTTCTCCCAGGGCGGGGTCTCTCACTACCTGACGCTGACGCTGGACGAGGCCGAGGCGCTGCTCTACGTGGGTGCCCGCGAGGCCGTGTTCGCCCTGGCCACGGGCACCGTGGAGCTCAAGGCGGCGGTGAGGCCTTGGGGCACCCCAAAATCAGGGTGGCACTTGGGGTGGGGGTGCCCTGCCAGCCCCTGACCCCTGTGCCACCCCCAGATCTCCTGGGAGGCGCCCCTGGAGAAGAAGGCGGAGTGCGTGCAGAAGGGCAAGAACAACCAGGTGGGCACAGGGTGAGGGGGGTTTGGGGCACCGTGCCAGCTCCAGGGGCTGTGTCCTTGTGTCCTTGTGCCATGTCCTGTGTCCCTGTGCTGTGCCAGCTCCAGGGGCTGTGTCCTTGTGTCCCTGTGCCATGCCCTGTGTCCCTGTGCTGTGCCAGCTCCAGGGGTCCTGTCCCTGTGCCCCTTTGTCATGCCCTTTGTTCCTGTGCCATGCCCTGTGTCCCCATGCCATGCCACATTCCCCATGTCCCCATGTGGTGGCAGTGCCCCCTGTCCTCTGTCCCTGTCCCGTGCCGTGTCCCCTGTCCCCACTCCTTTACTGTGCCACTGTCCCTGTGCCACGTCCCTTGTCCCCATGCCCACAATGACAACCCCTTCACTGTGCCACTGTCCCTGTGCCGTGTCCCTTGTCCCCACTCCTTTCCTGTGCCACTCTCCCCGTGCTGTGCCTCTGCTGTCCCTCGTCCCCTTTACGGTGCCACTTCCCCAGTGCCACATCCCTTGTCCCCATTAATGTCCCCTGTGTCCCCTCCCAGACCGACTGCTTCAACTACGTGCGCTTCCTGCAGAGCTACAACAGCTCCCACCTGTACGCCTGCGGCACCTACGCCTTCCAGCCCAAGTGCACCTACATCGTGAGTGGGTCCCCAAATCCCTGTCCTCAGTGTCCCCTGCCCTGCCCAGGGGTGGCCCTGTCCCCAGGGGTGGCGTTCAGGGTGGTGTTGTGGCTGTCAGAGCAGGTTGGGGGTGTCCTCTGTGCACTTGGGGTGTCCCAGATGATCCTTCTGGGACAGGGACAGTTCCTGATGGGTCATCTTGGAGGGGTCCCTGTCCCCAAGAGGATCATCAAGAGGTGTCCCTGTCCCCCGGAGGGTGGCCCAGGGCTGTCCCTGTCCCCAGGAGGGTCATCCAGGACTGTCCATGCCTCAGAAGAATCATCCAGGGGCATCCATGTCCCTCATCCAGGACAGTCCCTGTGCTGTGGAGGGTGGCCCCAGGCTGTTCCTGTCCCCAAGAGGGTCACCTGGAGGGTGTCCATGTCCTCGGGCCTGTCTGGGTGACGCAGACATGACCCAGTGCCCCCCACCCCCCTGTGCCCCCAGGAGCTCTCCGGCTTCACCCTGGACCCGGTGGCATTCGAGGACGGCAAAGGCAAATGTCCCTACGACCCCACCAAGGGCCACACCGGCCTCATCGTGGGTAGGTGACACCTCTGGGGACACGGGGGGTGCCACCCATGCCCGCCACCCCCCTTAAACACCTCCCCCACAGACGGGGAGCTCTACTCTGCCACCTTCAACAACTTCCTGGGCACGGAGCCCGTCATCCTGCGCAACCTGGGCCCGCACTACTCCATGAAGACGGAGTACCTGACCTCGTGGCTCAATGGTGGGGACACCAGGGGACAGGGGACACGGGAGGGGACGGGGGACACGGCACGGGTGTGACAAGGTGCTTTTGCAGAGCCTCACTTCGTGGCGTCGGCCTTCGTGCCCGAGAGCGCGGGCAGCGGCAGCGGCGACGATGACAAGGTTTACTTCTTCTTCAGCGAGCGCGCCGTGGAGTACGACTGCTACGCCGAGCAGGTGGTGGCACGGGTGGCACGGGTCTGCAAGGTACGCCTAGGCACACCTGGGGACACCTGGGGACACCTGGGGACGTGTCCTGAGCTGTTTCGGGGCTGGGTTTGGGCTATTGAGTATGACCGCAACACTGAGCAGGTGGTGGCACGGGTGGCATGGGTCTGCAAGGTACCTTGTCCTAGTGCCCATGGTGGCCTAGTCCTGGTGCCCATGGTGGCCTCTTCCTGGTGCTCATGGTCACCATGGTGGTCTTGTCCTGGTGGCCTTGGTGGCCTGATCCCAGTGCCAGTGGTCAGCATGGTGGCCTTATCATGGTGCCCATGCTGGCCTTGTCCTGGTGCCCATGGTGGCCTTGTCCTGCTGCCTGTGATGTTCATGGTGGCCATGTCCACGGTAGCCCCTGGTGGCCTTGTCCTGGTGCTCGTGGTGGCCTTGTCCTGAAGGCCATGGTCACCATGGTGGCCTTGTCCTGGATACCCATGGTGGCCTTTTCCTGGTGCCCGTGGTCAGCATGGTGGCCTTGTCCTGGATGCTCATGGATGCTCAAGGACATGGCCTTGTCCTGGTGCCCGCGGTCCCACAGTGGCCGTGTCCTGGTGCCCACAGTGGTGGGTCCTGGTGCCCATGGTGGCCTTGGTGGCCATGTCCCAGTGCTCATGGTGGCCTTGACCTGGTGCCCGTGGTGCCCACAGTGGCCGTGTCCTGGTGCCTGTGGTGCCCACAGTGGCCATTCCCGGTGCCCGCGGTGCCCACGGTGCGTGTCCCCGGCAGGGTGACGTGGGCGGCGCGCGCACGCTGCAGAAGAAGTGGACGTCGTTCCTGAAGGCGCGCCTGGTGTGCTCGGCCCCCGAGCAGCAGCTGCACTTCAACCGCCTGCAGGCCGTGTTCACGCTGCCCGGTGCCCGCTGGCAGGACACCGCCTTCTTCGGCGTCTTCCAGGCCCGCTGGTGAGTGCCCGCCGTGCCCGGCTGGCCCTGGTGGCCCTGTCTCTGTGACCATGGTGGCCTTGTCCTTGTGCATGTGGTGGCCTTGTCCCAGTGACCATGGTGGCCCTGTCCTGGTGACCATGGTGGCCTTGTCCCTGTGCACGTGGTGCCCATGGTGGCCTTGTCCTGGTGCCCATGGTCACTATGGTGGCCTTGTCCTGGTGCCCATTATGACCATCGTGGCCTTGCCTTGGTGCCCATGGTGTCCATGGTGGCCTGGTCCCAGTGCCCATGGTGGCCTTGTCCCGGTTCCCCTGGTGCCCATGGTGGCCTTGTCCCAGTGCCCATGGTGTCCATGGTGTCCTGGTCCCTTTGCCCACCCCCGGTGTGCCCGCAGGGGTGACGTGGACGTCTCTGCCATCTGCCGCTACCCCATCCTGGAGGTGAAGAAGGCCTTCGAGGGGCCCTACAAGGAGTACAGGGAGCAGGCACAGAAATGGGGGCGCTACTCGGGCGAGGTGCCCACGCCCCGGCCCGGCGCGGTGAGAGCGGGCACGGCCGCGGGCTGGGGCTGCTGGGGCCAGCTGGGGGCTGCTGGTGCCCTCTGAGGGGTTGGCATCCATTCACGGGGCTGGTGGTGCCCTCTGAGGGTTGGCATCCATTCATGGGGCTGGTGGTGCCCCTTGAGGGGTTGGCATCCATCCCTGGGGCTGCTGGTGCCCTCTGAGGGGTTGGCATCCATTCACGGGGCTGGTGGTGCCCCTTGAGGGGTTGGGATCCATTTGTGCCCCCTCAGATGGATTGGGATCCATCTGTGCCATCCTGAGAGGGATTGGGACCCACCCCAGTGCCCCCATGCCCTCCCCCGTGCCCTGACAGTGTCCCAATGTGCCCTGCTTTCCCCCCATGCCCTCCCCCGTGCCCTGACGGTGCCCCCTGTGCCCCTTGCAGTGCATCACAGACTGGCACCGCCAGAACGGCTTTGCCAGCTCCCTGGAGCTGCCCGACAACACGCTCAACTTTGCCAAGAAGCACCCGCTGATGGACGAGCCGGTGCCGCCCCAGCGCGGGCGCCCGCTGCTGCTCAAGAGGGATGCCAACTTCACCCAGCTCGTGGTGGACCGCGTGGCAGGGCTGGACGGGGCCACCTACGAGGTGCTCTTCATTGGCACAGGTAATGCCAGGGGACAGGGAATGCCAGGGGACAGGGCACAGGGATAGGGGGCACAGGGGACAGGGCACCTAGGGGCAGGGCATAGAGGGATCAGGGCACTGAGGAGACATGGCACAGCAGGGACAGGGCATCATGGGGACGGGGCATCATGGGGACAGGGTACAGCAGGGACAGGGCACAGCAGGGACAGGGCATCATGGGGACGGGGCACAGCAGGGACAGGGCACCGCGTGGGCAGCCCGGGGTGCCCCGTGGCTGATGCCCGCCGTGCCAACCCGCAGGTGACGGCTGGGTGCACAAGGCGCTGGATTTGGGCACCCGCATCCACCTGGTGGAGGAGCTGCAGGTGTTCGAGCCGGCCCAGCCCGTGGAGAGCCTGGTACTGGCGGGCACCAAGGTGAGCGTGCCAGGGGTGCAGGTGGCGGCGTCACCGCAGTGCCACCCGGCAGTGCCACCTCACCGCTGTGCCCTCCCTCCCCGCCCTGGCAGAAGCTGCTGTTCGCCGGGTCCCGCCTGCAGGTGGCACAGCTGCCCCTGGCAGAGTGCGGGCGCTACCAGTCCTGCACCGACTGCGTACTGGCACGGGACCCCTACTGCGCCTGGAGCCGCAACGGCAGCGCCTGCGTCCGCACCGACGGGCACAACGGGTACCCAGGGCACCCGGGGCATGGGCACCGCGGGCAGCGGGGTGGTACCGGGGCATGGGGATGGCACCCAGGGCATGGGAATGGCACCCAGGGCACGGGAATGGCACCCAGGGCATGGCCAGGGTGGAGTTTGGGAAGGGTTCTGTCCCCAGACGGTGCTGAGCACTGCCCAGGGAATGGGCACAGCCCCAAGGAGCTCCAGGAGCCTTTGGATTTTGGGGTGTCTGTGCAGGGGTGCCCAGGGTGGCATTTTGGGGTGTCTGTGCAGGGCCACAGGTGGGATCAGTGATCTCTGGGGTACCCCCTCACTGTGCCACCCTCCCGCAGGTCCCACCTGGTGCAGGACGTGCTGAGCTCCGACACCGGCGCCTGCTCCGTGCCACAGGTGGCCAAGCAAGGTGAGACCCTACTGGTGCCACACAGGTGTGCCCATGGCATCCCATGGACCCCATTTCATCCCATCCCATGGACCTCATCAAATCCCATCCCATCCCATCCCATCCCATGGATCCCATCTCATTCCATGGATCCCATCCTATCCCACCCGATCCCATGGACTCCATCTCATCCCCTGGATCCACTCCCATCCCATCTCATAGATCCCATCCCATAGATTCCATCCCACCCCATCCCATGGATCCCACCCTATCCCACCCCATGGACCCCATCCCATCCCACCCCATGGATCCCACCCCACCCCATCCCCTCGCACCCCATGGACCCCACCTGTCCCATCCCGTCCCCACTCACGGCCGTGTCCCCGCAGGCTCCCTGACCCCCAAGAACGTGACGGTGGTGGCGGGCACCGACCTGGTGCTCACGTGCCGCCTGGCCTCCAACCTGGCGCGCGCCCTCTGGACCTTCGAGGGCCGGGCGCTGGCGGCGCAGCAGGTGCTGGTGCTGGGCGAGGCGCGGCTGCGGGCGCTGGTGGTGCCCGGCGCGGGCGCCCAGCACAGCGGCACCTACCGCTGCCTGGCCGAGGAGCAGGGCGCCCGCCTGCCCGCCCAGGAGTACCGCGTGGCCGTGCTGGCCGGCCCGGGGGCGCCGCTGGAGACGCGGGCGCCGCTGGAGAGCCTGGGCGTGGTGTGGGTGCTGGCCGTGTGCCTGGGCGCCCTGTGCCTGCTGCTGCTGCTGGCCGTGCTGTCGCTGTGGCGCCGCCTGCGCCACGAGCTGGGCAAGGGCGCCAAGGCCATCGAGAGCACCCTGGTGTACCCCATCGAGCTGCCCAAGGAGATGCCCAGCCCGCGCTTCGTGCCCAGCGCCGCCTCCGACTCGGACGAGAAGCTCTGGGACCCGTCCAGTTATTACTATTCGGACGGGTCGCTGAAAATCGTGCCCGGCCACGCCAGCACGGCGGGCACCGCCTGCTGCCGCAACGGCGGCCCCGGCGCCGCCTCCCCGCCCGCCGCCATCCCCGGGCAGCCGCTGCACTCGCCCACCCGCATCCACCTGGGCCCCCTGCGCGGCTCGGCCTCCAACGGCTACATCCGCCTGGCGCTGGGCACCGAGGAGCGCCCGGCCTGCGCCGACCTGGCCGAGGAGCTGCGGCGCAAACTGCAGCAGCGCCAGCCCCTGCCCGACTCCAACCCCGAGGAGTCGTCGGTGTGAGCCGGGCCCAGCCCCGCTCCGGGAGCTGGCGTGGGCACCGCGGAGCGGGCACGGCGGAGCTGGCAGCTGATCCGGCTGGGGATGGGCGCCTGGCACCAGGATCCAGCTTGGGATGAGCGTCTGGCATCAGAACCCGGCTGGGGACGGGCACCTGGCACCAGGATCCAGCTGGGGACGGGCACCTGGCACCAGGATCCAGCTGGGGACAAGTGTCTGGCATCAGGACCTAGCTCAGGATGGGCACCTGGCACCAGGACCTGGCTGGGGACGGGCGCCTGGCATCAGGACCCAGCTGGGGACGCACACCTGGCACTGGCACCCACCTTGGGGACAGGATTGCCACGCTGGTACCTGCCTTGGGGACAGCAGGGTGAGCCCAGTACCCGGCTTGGGGACAGCAGTGTCACCACAGGATCCACCCCGTGTCACCCCCAGTGCCGGTGCCCACCTTGGGGACTGATACGTTGGCACTGGTGCCCACCTTGGGGACAGGATTGTCACCCTGGCACCCAGGATTGTCACTTGGGCACCTCCCTTGGGGACAGGGCTGTCACCCTGGCACCGCTGCCACCCAGCCGTGCCACTCCGGGCTCCCGGTGCCACCACCTTCGGTACGGTGTCCCCATGGAGGGACAGACGTGGGGACACCCCCGTGCCCGCCTTGTGCCCGGTGCCCTCGGGACGATTTTTTTGGGCCGATTTCGGGTTTTTCTCCCTGACATTTTTCTATCTCCACCCCCTCCCTCCGTGCCCCCTTTGCCAGGGCTCTGTGCCCACCCTGCCCTGGCCTTTGTCCCCTTTGTCCCCTCCTGTCCCCAACCCCTGCACGCGCCCCACCCCTTTTGTATAAGCCCCCCCCACCCAGTGTAATTTATTTGTTACCAAAATTATATTTATTTGCTGTAAATACCTGAGTATTTTTATATTCATAATAAAAGGACTTCCAAAAAAATCCAAAAAAAGCCAAAAACAAATCCCGGGGTTTTTTTTCTCTTTCTCTTTTCTTCTTGGGGAGTTCTGGGGGGGTTTTGCAATTTTTGGGGAAGTTTGGGGAGGTTTTAGGTGGGTTTTGATGAGGTTTTTAGGGAGGTTTTAGGGAGGTTTTGGTTGAGGTTTTGGGGGAACTTTTGGGGAGTTTGGGGGGAATTTTTGGGGAGGTTTTGGCGGAGATTTTGGGGAGGTTTTTTGGAGATTTTTCCTGAGGTGTTGGGAAGTTTTCGGGGATTTTTTTGGAAGGTTTTGGGGGAGTTTTTAGGGAATTTTGGGGAGGTTTTGGGGAAGTTTTGGTTGAGGTTTTGGCGAGTTTTTGGGGGGGTTTTGGGGGAGTCTTTGGGGAATTTTGGGGAGGTTTTGGGAAAGTTTCGGTTGAGGTTTTGGGGAGGTTTTGCGGGAGGTTTTGGTCTCTCCCCCCACGGTGCTGAGCTCATGGAAAAAGCTCCAGCGGGGCTAAAAAAGGACAAAACCGGAGCCGTTCCCAGGCGGGGGGGCCGGGCCGGGCTCCCCCCTCCCCTCCCCGGGGCGGCTCCGCTGGGAACAGCGCAGGAAATGGGGGAGGGGGCTGGAAACGGGGTCGGGGCCGTGGGAAATGGGGCTGGGGGCGGGCTGGGAATGCCACGGGGGGAAGGGGAGCCCAAGGACACCCCAGTACAGGGGAGGGACCTCCGGGACGCCCCTAACGGGGATGGGGACCCCCATTATTGCTGTGGGACCCCAGTTTCTGCTGTGGGACCCCCATTTCTGGGCGGGGAGGAGCTCGGGGACCCCATAAAGGTTTGGGGAAGACCCCTGGGAACCCCGAGTGGGGGAGGATGGGAGCCTTGGGACCCCCCTAATGGGGAGTGGGAGCCCTGTGGGTGCGGTTGATTATGAGGGTGGGGCTTGGGGACCCCAAAATTCGGGGCGGGGGGCGAACCCCGGGTCCCCAAAGGGGGCTTTGAGCGGCCCCTGGCCCCCCCCGGCGGCGGCACCGGGTGTGGGGAGTGCGCATGATCCGCAACGGTTTGGAAGCGGCGTCCTTCGGCTGCATTCGGCCCTTCCCGGATCCCTTCGGCATTTTCCGGCCCTTTTCACGCTCTTTCGGTTCTTTCCGCCTGCACTCGGCCCTTTCCGCTCTCATTCGACTCTTTCCGCTTCTCCTCGTTCCTTTCGCCTCCCTTCGGCCCTTTTCGATCTCACTCGGCTCTTTCCGCCGCCCCTCGGCTCTCTCCGCCCCGTCCCTCAGCGCCGCCGCTGCCATGGCCGGTGGTCGCCGCTCGCCGCCCGCTCCGTGCTGCCCGGGCCGGGCGGCGATGCCCTCTCCGTGCTGCCAGAGCCGCGTGGCCGTGCCCAGCGTGCACCAGAGCCTGTCCGAGATGGACTTCGAGCGGGGTCCGGGGGGCTCTGGGGCTGGGGGCGGGAGGGCCGGGTCAGCGGTACCGGCGGAGCTCCGTGTGGGGTACCCGGTACCGGAGGGACACGGGGGGGGGGGGTCTCCGTGTGGGGTACCCGGTGCCGGAGGGGCACCGGGGACTCTGGGCAGGGGTTGCCGTAGCGGAGGGGGCACGGGAAGGGCTGGAGCAGCGGTACGGGGGGCTCTGGGCACCGGTACCGGGCAGGGCCCGTGGCTGAGGCGGCTCCGCTGCCCGCAGGGATCTGGGCGGCGGCGCGGGACGGGGACGAGGCGCGGGTGCTGCAGCTGCTGGAGCGGCGAGGGGACCCCGCGGAGCCCGACCTGGCGGGGTACACGGCACTGGTACACCGGGGGCACCAGGGGGCACGGGGGGCACCGGGGGTTCTGACCGGGTACCTGGCCCTGGTACGAAGGGCACGGAGGGCACCGGGGTCTTCGGGATCCCACCCTGGTGGGGAACGCGGCCCTGGCACGGGGGCACCGGGGGGTCCGGATCGGGTACGAGGGGCACGGAGGGCACGGGCATCCTTGGGGTCGGTCCTGCCCGGGCACACCGCCTGGCACCGGGGGTTGCAGGGGTACCTGGCACCGGGATCCCGGGGGTCTTTGGGGTCGGTCCTGCCCGGGCACACGGCCCTGGCACCGGGGATCCCGGTGAGGGCTGAGGCAGCGCCGTGCCCGCAGCACTACGCCAGCCGGAACGGGCACCTCGGCGTGTGCCGGCTGCTGCTGGAGCGCGGTGCCCCGTGCGATGCCCGCACCCCCGGCGGGGCCACCCCGCTGCACCGCGCCTGCTACTGCGGGCACCGCGCCGTCACCGAGCTGCTGCTGGCACACGGAGCCGACCCCGCCGCCACCGACGGCGACGGCAGAACCGGCCTGCACAAGGTGGGCACCGGGGGGGGCACGGGGAGAGCCCAGAGTGGGTGGGGGGCACAGTGGGATCCCAAAGTGAGGGGGGACGCGGGAGGGCCCCAAATGATCGGGGGAAGGGGGGCGGGGGGCAATGCCCAAATTAGAGGGGGCAAAGGGGGCATCGCTTGCCCAAAGTGGGTGGGGGGCACGGGGAGCACCCCTTGACCAAATTAGAGGGGGGCACAAGGGGCACCCCCTGCCCAAATTTGAGGGGGGCACAGAGGGGTCCTCTGCCCAAATTAAAGGACGGAGGGGGACCCCAATGCCCAGATTAAAAGGGGGCACAAGGGGACATCCCTGCTCAAATTAGAGGGGACATCGGGGGACCCCAATGCCAGGTGGGGGTCACAGGGGGCACCCCCTGCCCAAATCGGGTGGGGGGCGCGGGGCTCCTCCTCCCGCAGGGTGCCCGTGGGTGGCTCTCGGGTGCCCGTGGGTGGCTCTCGGGTGCCCGTGTGCCCCCGGGGGTGACACCGGTGCCCCCCAGGCCGCCGAGCAGGGGCACCGCGAGCTCTGTGCCCTCCTCCTGCGCCGGCGCCCGGCCCTCGCTGCCCTCCGCGATGCCAGGGGCCGCAGCCCGCGGGACGGGGCGCACCCGGCCGTATGGGACCTGCTGGACACCTGAGGGGACACACAGGCGACAACCGGGCCCGGGCATTGTCGCGGTCCCGGTGCCCGTCCCGGTACCGCCGCTGCCGCCTCCGTGTTCCGCCAGCATGCCCCGCCCACGACCCGTCATATCAACCAATCACCTCCCGCCATTCCCTGAAGCCCCGCCTTCCCATGTAGCCAATCAGCACCTGCGGTGCCTTTAGGGGCGGGGCTTCGCGGTGTAAACAGCCCCCGCCGGGGGGGATTTAAAGGCGCCGCGTCCTTTCTAACCGGGCCCCTCCCCCGGAAACCGGGACGCCCCCGCGCGGCACCGAGCACACCCAGGTACAGATATAGAATTTTTATTAACCCATCTGACAAAAAAATAACCCCAAAAAAAAAACCCTCCGTGAAATCAAAATTCCACGGTCGGTTTGACAACCGGGGCTTGGGGGGAGGGGCAGAACCGGGAGGGGGAGGCCCGGCCCCCTCCCCCCCTCTCCCCATCCCCCCCGCGGCCCGAGCTCCCCAAAAATACAAATCAAAACCTGAACAATAAATAGGAATTCCCCAGGGGGGAGGAAAAGGAGGGGTTTGCATAGAGGAAGATTTAATAAAAAAGGTTTTTTTTGTTTTTTTTTGTTTTTTTTTCCTGGCTTATTATTAATTATTATTATTATTAATTAATTATTATTATTATTTCTAAAATCTCCCCACTGAAGGAGCTAGGAACTGATCGTCGAGATGTGATTAACAAAAATAATTCAACCTTCTCCCAATAACTTACAGGAGTTCACCCAGGGGGAACTTTTGTGCTTATTTTTGTTTTTTTTGGGGTCAAGCTCTGACCCCAAAAAACCCCAGGGGGGTTTTGGGGGGACCCTCAGCCCCCTCCTGCCTGTACAACTTTGGTCACTAGCGCTGTGTCACCCCAAAATCCAGACCTCAAAGTCAGACCCCAAAGTTCGGACCCCAAAATCCAGACCTTAAAGTCCAGACCCTAAAATCCCCGGGCCAGCAGGGAAGGGGCTGGGATTTATCCAGGAGACCCCAGAAACACTGGAGAGGGGTCGGGATTCCCATCCCAGGATATCCCAAAATGGTGGAGGAGACCCCAAAGGGCTGAGGAGACCCCAGAGGTTTGCAATTCCCATCCCAGGATGGGAAGGAGACCCCAAAGGTTTGCAATTCCCATCCCAGGATGGGAAGGAGACCCCAAAGTGATGGAAATCTCATCCTAAGGATCCCAAAGGTTTGGGATGTCCATCCCGAGGGTCCTGGCAGGGGTGGGACGCCCACCCTGGGATTCCTGGCAGGGTTGGGGTGTCCATCCTGGGGTCATGGCAGGGTTGGGATGGAGCCTGGAAGGTTTGGGGTTCCCAGAAGGTTTGGGATGGACCCTGAAAGGATTGAGATGTCCACCCTGGGGTATCTGGAAGGGCTGGGATGTCCATCCCAGGGTTCCTGAAAGTTTTGGATGGACCCTGGCAGGGCTGGGATGTTCATGTCCATCCCAGGTTTCCTGGCAGGTTGGGGTGTCCATCCCAGGTCCCCTGGCAGGGTTGGGGTGTCCATGTCCATCCCAGATCCCCTGGCAGGGTTGGGGTGTCCATCCCAGGTCCCCTGGCAGGGTTGGGGTGTCCATGTCCATCCCAGGTCCCCTGGCAGGGTTGGGGTGTCCATGTCCATCCCAGGTCCCCTGGCAGGGTTGGGGTGTCCATCCCAGGTCCCCTGGCAGGTTGGGGTGTCCATGTCCATCCCAGGTCCCCTGGCAGGGTTGGGGTGTCCATCCCAGGCTCCCCACGGCGCACACCCAGACCCGAAGCTCCCTGAGCCGTCGGCGCCGTGCCTGCGCCGCTCCGTCCGTCCCAAACCGAGCCGGCCTGGAACAGCAGCAGCAAATCCCAGCTCCTCCATCCCCACCGCGCCTCCTCCTCATCCTCATCCTCCTCCTCCTCCAGCGGCTCCTCCTACCGGGCAAGGTCCCTGCACGGGGCACGCCGGGCACGCCGAGGCGGCCGGCGCGGCCGGGGTCAGATGGAGTTCTCCAGGCCGCTGTGGTTGCTGCGCCGGCTCAGGCAGTTCCTCTCGTTGAGCAGACTCGTGGTCTCGTCGGCCGGCGCCGGCGGCTCCGGCTTCTCCGCCGTGGCCGGGTCGGCCTTGGGGGCGGCGCTGTCGGGGGACTGGGGACAACTGTCCATGCGCGAGGCCAGCAGCCCGTTCTGGTACTCCTGCCGCGTGATCTGCGCCGGGACAGGGCGTGGGAGAGGGCAAGGGCGGGTCCCCATCCCACCGAGGGGTAGGAGACCCCCAAGTGTTGGAATTCCCTTCCCAGAAAGGGGCACTGATGGAATTCCCATCCCAAAATGGGGTAGGAGACCCCCAAGTGTTGGAATTCCCACCCCAGAATGGGGCACCGATGGAATTCCCATCCCAGAGTGGGGCACCGATGGAATTCCCATCCCAGAGTGGGGCACTGATGGAATTCCCATCCCAGAATGGGGTAGGAGACTCCAAAGTGTTGGAATTCCCATCCCAAAATGGGGCATGGATGGAATCCCCATCCCAAAGTGGGGTGGGAGAGAGCAAAGGGGGAAATTCCCATCCTGAAAAGTTTTCCAGGACCTGATGGGTCGGGAATCCCATCCCAAAGGGTTCTCCTGGCCCTGATGGGTCGGAATGGGGTGATGGGTCAGGAATCCCATCCCAAAAGGATTTCCCAGCCCCGATGGGTCAGGAATCCCATCCCAAAGAGTCCTCCCAGCCCTGATGGGTCGGGAATCCCATCCCAAAGGATTTCCCAGCCCTGATGGGTCAGGAATCCCATCCCAAAGGGTTCTCCTGTCCCTGATGGGTCAGGAATCCCATCCCAAAGGGCTCTCCCAGCCCCGTTCCACCCGGGAGCGCTCACCTTGACGAACTGGAGGTCGGTGAGGGCGCGCACGCTGAAGTCGGCCACGTACTGCGCGCCGCCCGCGTTGAGCTGGTTGTTGCTGCCGCTGACCGGCGACGAGCCCGAGTCCGAGCGCTCGTGGTAGCTCAGCGAGGCCGAGCGGTTCAGGCCGCTCATGTGGGACGGGGAACGGATCTCTGGGGGGGCAGGGAGGGTTGGGATCATCCTCTGGTCTCTCCCGAAATTCCCGATCCCAGTTTTGCTCCCCGTGGATCAATTCTGAAGAGCTCATCCCCTCAATTTGGGTTTTTCGCGCCCGTTCTGAAGGCGGAATTCTTTGGGTTTCTGGAATTGCCTTGTGGAGGTTTAGGTTTAAGTTTAGATTTAGGTTTAGTAAAATAAATTTAAAGTTTTTAGGGTGGGATTCTAAAACTTAAAGTCTTCCTAACAGGGCAGGTTTAACAAGAATCCCATTTTCCTCCCTGGTCTAAATCCAGAATGTGTTTCTGGAATTCCCTCATGGAGGTTTAGATTTAGGTTTAGGTTTAAGGTGGGATTCCAGAACTCTTCCTAACAGGGCAGGTTTAACAAGAATCCCATTCTCCACAGGGAAAAGGAGTTTAACTTCTGGAATCTCACCCTAAATCTAAACTTAAAGCTAAACCTCTGTTGTCCCCAGGACACTGATGGGCTTGGGAGCCTCTGGAATCTCCCGTTCCCGGCAGCAGCTCCAACCCAGGGATCCCGGGAAGGTTCCAGAGATGCTCACCAGATCCAGGAGGAGGACTCAGGGCCATCACCCCGTAGTAGGAAAAGGCTCCTGCCTCGAACTTCATGCACTCCTTGCCAGCCTCCACCTCCACCTTGCCCTGCAGGGAGAAACAACCAAGATCCACAAACAGATCCCAAGGGAAGAGATCCCATGGGAATTGTCCAGATCCCAAGGGAAGAGATCCCGTGGGAATTGTCCAAATCCCACGGGATGAGATCCCATGGGAATTGTCCAGATCCCAAGGGATGAGGTCCCATGGGAATTGTCCAAATCCCAAGGGAAGAGATCCCATGGGAATTGTCCAAATCCCACGGGATGAGATCCCATGGGAATTGTCCAGATCCCAAGGGATGAGGTCCCATGGGAATTGTCCAAATCCCAAGGGAAGAGATCCCGTAGGAATTGTCCAGATCCCAAGGGAAGAGATCCCGTAGGAATTGTCCAAATCCCAAGGGATGAGATCCTGTGGGAATTGTCCAAATCTCACCGGAATTGCCCAAACCCCAAAGGATGAGGTGCCATGGGAGTTGTCCAGATTCTGAGGGATGAGATCCCACAGGAACTGTCCAAATCCCATGGGAATCGTCCAAATCCCAAAGGGTGAGATCCCTCAGGAACTGCCCAAACCCCGGGGGCTGAGGTCCCTCAGGAATTCCCCAAATCCCTCAGGAATTCCCAAACCCCGGGGGCTGAGGTCCCTCAGGAATTCCCCAAATCCCTCAGGAATTCCCAAACCCCGGGGGCTGAGGTCCCTCAGGAATTCCCCAAATCCCTCAGGAATTCCCAAACCCCGGGGGCTGAGGTCCCTCAGGAATTCCCCAAATCCCTCAGGAATTCCCAAACCCCGGAGGCTGAGGTCCCTGAGGAATTCCCCAAATCCCTCAGGAATTCCCAAACCCCGGGGGCTGAGGTCCCTCCGAAGGGCCTCACCTGCAGGATCAGGATGAAGTAGTCGGCCGGTTTGTTCTTGCAGTACAGGAAGTGCCGCGGGGATTTCTTGTTCTCCTCATCAAACTTCAGCTCCTGGATGACGTCGGAGTACTTGAGGAGCCGCAGCAGGATCTTCTCCGAGATGAAGTTGGAGGTGAAGAGGGTCACCTCTGGAGAGGGGGGAGAAGGACAGAGATGGCTTAAATCCCTCCAGGTGGAAGTGAATGTCCATCCTGGGATGGTCTAGGAGACCCTTGGGACTGGAATGTCCATCCTGGATGGTCTAGGAGACCCTTGGACCAGAATTCCCATCCTGGGATGGTCTGGGAGACCCTTGGGGTTGGAATGTCCATCCTGGGAGGGTCTAGGAGACCCTTGGGGCTGGAATGTCCATCCTGGGATGGTCTGGGAGACCCTTGGGGCTGGAATGTCCATCCTGGAGGACTCCAAAGGACTGGGATGTCCATCCCAGAGGTCCCAAAGAAGCCATCAAGACCCAAGGCACCAGGACGCCCATCCCCAACTTTGTCCCCTCCCATTTTGGCTGGGATGGACACAACAAAAAGTGGAACAAGAGCCAAAATTTCTGCTGGGAGTGACCAGAGGGGACACAAGGACTTTGTGAGCTCCTTCAGCTCCAAGATCCTCCAGTCCCCAGGATGTCCCAGCCATGGGATGTCCCCAGAACATCCTGAGCCCTGGGATGTCCCATCCATGGGATTGTCCCTAAGATGTCCCAACCATGAGATGTCCCCAGATGTCCCAGCCATGGGATGTCCCCAGAACATCCTGAGCCCTGAGGTGTCCCATCCATGGGATTGTCCCCAGATGTCCCAGCCCTGGGACACCCAAACTGACCGGTGGACAGGAAGCGGTGGGCGGCCAGCAGGAGCTGAGGTGACACCTTGACCTTCAGCTCGTTGTCGGGGTCCTTGAAGGCCGAGAAGTCCCTTCGGTTCTTCTGGTTGCACACCCTCTTCCTGCTGCGGTTGTCAACTGCGGGGAACAGCGGGGTCACCTCCAGGGGACCACCAGGAACCCCCACCATGGGATTTTGGGGAGGGGGGAGCCCCAAACCTACTGTAGGTGTCGGACTCGTCCAGGATCTCCGACTTGATGATCTCCTCGATGACGTCCTCGAGCGTCACCAGCCCCAGCACCTCGTAGAAGGGGTCACCCTCACCCTCATTGTTCACCTTCTGCACGATGGCCAGGTGGGACTTCCCTGTGGACACGGTGAGGGTTGGAATGGGACGGCCCTGAGGCGTCCCCAGGGTGTCCCCAAGATGTCCCAACCATGGGATGTCCCCAGGGTGCCCCAACCATGGGATGCCCAAAGGATGTCTCAGCCATGAGAGGACCCCATGATGTCCCCAAGGTGTGTCAGCCATGGGATGTCCCCACCCTGCAATGTCCCCAGGATGTCCCAGCCATGGGATGTCCCCAGGGTGTCCCAGCCATGGGATGTCCCCAGGGTGTCCCAACCATGGGATGTCCCCACCAAGGGACATCCCCAGGATGCCCCAACCATGGGATGCCCAAAGGATGTCCCAACCATGGGACGTCCCCAGGATCCCCCAACCATGGGATGTCCCCAGGGTGCCCCAACCATGGGATGCCCAAAGGATGTCTCAGCCATGAGAGGACCCCATGACGTCCCCAGGGTGTCTCAGCCATGGGATGTCCCCACCCTGGGATGTCCCCAGGATGTCCCAGCCATGGGATGGCCCTGGGATGTCCCCAGGATGTCCCAGCCATGGGATGTCCCTGGGATGTCCCCACCCTTCGATGTCCCCAGGATGTCCCAGCCCATCCCATCCCGCCCTGGAGCAATAAACTCATTAAAACCTAAACGAGCCCTTGGGCTGGGCTCCTTCCCAGGGTAATGACACTAATTAAACCTCCAAGGGTAATGACACTAATTAAGCCTCCCAAGGTAATGACACTAATTAACCCCATTAAAGCTGGGGAAGAGGCTGAAGGCACCTTGGGCTGTGGGATCAGCCTGGGGTTCCCGGGATGTCACCGTCACCACCGGGAATTCCCTTTCCCCCACCTGAGTGTCCCCATGTGTCCCCCTCCATCTCCACCCCAAACCTGCCCTGATCCCAAACAAATCCCCCCTCTGTCCTCACCTGAGTGTCCCCATGTGTCCCCCTCCATCTCCACCCCAAACCTGCCCTCCCTGACCTTCTCCACTCTTTAATTCCAGCCCCCACCAGCTCCTGGCACTCAGGAAAAGCTGATTTTAGGGGAATTTTAGCTGATTAGGAAAATCTGGGATTTTAGGGGATCCCAGATCCCATTTTCGCTCCTCCCTCGCCCTCAGGGCCAGGAAAAGTTGGTGCCTGGAGGGCTGAAGAAACAATTTCATCATTTCTGATGGGGCCACCGGGGTGGGGCCAGGTGGGGTGGGCCAGGTGAGTCAGGATGAGCAGCCAGGGAGTGGCTGTGGCAGAGCAAACACGGCCAAAGGGCACCAGGGAGGCTGGGTTAGGGTCACCAAGGGGGGGAAAATACCCCAGGAACCCCAAATGGGGTGGGGGAGGAACAGTCTGAGGGACAGGGAGGTCCCTCTGTCCCTGGTGGCTCCAGCCTGGCCTTGGGGACACTTCCAGGACATTCCAGCCACAGCTGCTCTGGGAATTCCATCCCAGCCAGGAATTCCTTCCCAAAATCCCATTAAAATCCCCATTCTTCCATTTGGGAGCCATCCCCTGTGTCCTGTCCCTCCATCCCTTGTCCCCAGTCCCTCTCCAGCTCTCCTGGAGGGTTCTGGGCTCTCCTGGATCCTTCCCTTCTCCAGGAGAACATTCCCAGCTCTTCCAGCCCAGCTCCAGAGGGAAATTCCTCACTCAAACCCTGGAGATGGGAAGGAATTGTCACCCCAAGGGTGACATCCCCACCGCCCTGGGGCACAGCTCAAACCCCACAATTAACACAACCACTTGAATTATTCCCTCTCCTGCCTCTGCTCCAGCTCCTGGCCGGGTCAAGGAGCTCCTGAACCCACCAGGAATTTGTGGGGTCACCTCCAAAACCCCAACCCTGCAAATTCCCGGCTCCTGAGCCGGCGCTGGAAAAACAACGGGGCTGGGATTTGTGCCCGGAAGGAAGGAAGGAAAGAGGGAGCCTAAATCCCTTAATCAGGATTGGGGCAGGGAAAGCCTCTGCCAGCAGCCAGGATAACCCCAAGCCCAGCAGCAGCTCAGCACTCACTGGTTCTGGGACAGCACATCCCAAATGTTCCCCCACACCTGGAGGGGTTTGGGAATCCCTCAATGTCCCTGGGGGGGGTTTAGGAATCCCTCAATGTCCCTGGAGGGGTTTAGGAATCCCTCAATGTCCCTCACCAGCCCAAAAAGGAAGAATTCCTTCCCAAAACCCCATCTAAACCAGAACATGGATTCATGGCATGGTTGGGGTAGGAAGGGACCTTAAATCTGGTGACCTCCTGCCTGTCCCCAAGGTGTCACTCGTTCCCTTGGGTTTGTGGCCACTGTGGAGACCCCTGGCACGGGCAAGCTCCAAATCCAGGACATCAAAATCCCCAAATTTTGGGACTTTCCTTCCCAAAATCCCACCTAAACCAGAACATGGACTCATGGAACAGCTGGGGTTGGACGGGACCTTAAGTTTTGTGACCCCCTGCCTGTCCCCAAGCTGTCACTTGTTCCCTTGGGTTCGTGGCCACTCTGGCCTGGCCAGCTCCAACCCTGGAGACCAAAACCCCCTGGAATTTCCCTCCCAGCCCCTCCAGGATCCCCTCCTCACCCTTTTTGAACTCCTCCAGCATGGCGTCCAGCTTGGTGTCGTGGAACACCACGTGCACGGGGTGGTTGTAGAACTTGGTGATGGTCTTGAGGGGCGTGCAATCATCAGGGTCCACGAAGGCCAGGTCCTTGACGTAGAGGATGTCCATGATGTTGGACCTCTCGTCCTCGTAGACCGGGATGCGCGTGTAGCCGCTCTCCATGATCTCCGACATGGTGTTGAAGTCCAGGATGGCGTCGCTGTTGATCATGAAGCAGTTCTGCAGCGGGGTCATCACGTCCTCCACCGTCTTGGTGCGCAGCTCCAGCGCTCCCTGGATCATGTTGAGCTCCTCCCTCACCAGGTCGTTGTAGGGCTCCGTCACCTTCAGCATCTCCACCAGCTTCTCCCGGTTGTAGACGGTGCCGATCTCCTGGCCCAGGATGCAGTCCAGCAGCTTGCTGATGGGGTAGGACAGCGGGAAGGTGACCAGCATGAAGAACTTGGTGACCACGATGGTGTTGGCGCCCACGGCCAGCCCGTGCCGCGAGCACAGCGCCTGCGGCACGATCTCGCCGAAGATGACGATGCCGATGGTGGAGGCCACCACGGCGCCGATGCCGGAGCCGATCAGGTCGTCCAGCAGGATGGTCAGCGTGGTGTTGACCAGCACGTTGCCCAGCAGCAGCGAGCAGAGCAGGTAATTCCCTTTCCTGCGGATGGGCTCGATCCTGCGGGCGTAACGCTTCTCCTTATCCGTCCCACAGTTCTGCACGATCCTCAGCTCCATGGGGTCCAACGCCATCAAGCCCAGGTTGAGCCCGCTGAACATCCCCGACAGCACCAACAAGCCCGCGATCAGAATCACCTGCAGCCACAAGGGCAGCAGCGACTTCTTCTCCTCCAGCACCAGCACGTGCCCGTCGGGCCCTTGGTGCGGCAGCCAGGGCTGCCCGGGCCGCCGCTGCGAGCACAGCACGTAGGTCTTGGCCCTCTCGTCCTTGCGCAGCGGCTGCACCCGCACCCGGAGCAGGGCCGAGGTGTCGCGGGGCTCGGCGGGGCCGGGCCGCACCACCAGGTCCTGCGAGCGCTCCTGGCACGTGGCGTTGCCGCTCGAGGCGTTGCCGCCCGGCCGCAGCTCGGCGAAGGCCACGCGCTCGGCGGCGCCGGGGCCCAGCCCCAGCCCGTAGAGGCGCAGCAAGGCCTCGCTGCCTTCCGTGAGGCGGATGGGCCCGCGCTCGGCCGCCCCCGCCGGTGCCACCGCCGCCGCCGGTTTGGTGCTCTCCTCCAGGCGCAGCCCCAGCACCACGGTGTCGGCCGCGGGGACGGCGCCGCCGGGCAGCGCCAGCAGCAGCAGCAGCGGCGGCAGGAACGGGCCCGGCGAGAGCGGGGTCCCCCCACAGCCGCCGGCGCCGCCGCCCGCCGCCATGTTGGGCACTGGCGGGAGCGTCACGCACGGGCCGACGCGGCCGCGGGGTGACGTCACGCGCGGAGGGCACGCCCCCTCGGGGAACGGCGGCCGGTTGGGCACGCCCCTCGAGGATGACGTCATTGAGGGCACGCCTCCTCGGGGACCGGCGACCGGTTAGGTACGCCCCCTAGATGGTGACGTCACTACAGGCGCGCCGTGGATGGTTCAATGATGTCATGCCCAGGGGTGACGTCATACACGGAGCACCGCCCAGAGGAGGGGAAGGACGCTCTGGCCACGCCCTCAGCGGTGACGTCACGCGGAGACACGGCTCCTCCCAACGGGGTGTGGCGAAACTCTTAAAGAGATACGCCCCTACTGTGACATCACACACAGGACCACGCCCCCGGTTTTTCCTCTGGCCGCACCCCCTCGGTGACACCTTTGATGTGACATCACACCCCGCAGCAGGGAGAAACGATCCTGGGGGCAACCGCGGGGTGACGTCACCTAGAGGGCCACGCCCACGCTGAGGGAGTCACACTGCTGGGGGCACAGGGACACGCCCCTTGTGACGTCACTCGGCCCGGGGTGGCACCAGGACCTCGGGGGTGGCACTAGGACCCGGGAGAAGGGAGGTCACCCAGCTCAATGGCGGCTGTCATCACCAGGCGCCGGAACTGCATTACCCATCACCCCCTCGCACATCCAGGTGACAGACAGCTCATCTGACCAATCATCATTGGTGCTTCCCCTAATGGGCGGGGACAGCGGTGCGAGCCAGCCAATGGGCGCGCGGGGCGGGCCGCGGCGCGGTGGGGGAAAGATGGCGGCGGCGGGCCGGTGGCGGGCCGGGTTGGTCCTGCTGGCCGTGCTGCTGGAGCTCGGCGGGACGGCGGCCGAGCAGACCGAGGAGCACCTCAAACGCGAGCACTCGCTGTCCAAGCCGTACCAGGGTGAGCGGGGAGGGCGGGCGGTGCTGGCGGACGGTGCCCGGTGACCGGTGCCGGTGGCCGGTACCGACGGTTCGTGTGGGCCGCAGGTGTGGGCTCGGCCAGCTCGGGGCTCTGGGACCTGCTGGGCAACGCCATGGTCATGACTCAGTTCATCCGCCTCACCCCCGACGTGCAGAGCAAGCAGGGAGCCGTGTGGAACCGAGTGGTGAGCGGGGGGCACCGGGATGGGATCCATGGGATGGGATCCATGGGATGGGTTGGGATCCATGCGTTGGGATGGGATAGGAGGGGATGGGATCAATGGGTTGGGATGGGATCAAGGGGATGATATCGATGGGGTGGGATGGGATCGATGGGATGGGATCAATGGGTTGGGATGGGATGGGATCAATGGGTTGGGATGGGATGGGATCAATGGGTTGGGATGGGATGGGATAAATGGGTTGGGATGGGATCCATGGGATGGGGAGAGAGTCGGGATTGGGATTGGGATCAGGGCAGGAGAGAGTCGGGATCAAGACTGGGACTGGGGCAGGGTTAGGAGAGGGAGAAGGTCAGGGTGAGGATTGGGATCAGGGCAGGAGAGGCTCAGGATTGGGATCAGGATTGGGATCAGGGCAGGGTTAGAAGGGGGAGAGGGTCAGGAGAGAGATTCCCAAAGTGGGACTGGGATTCCCAAAGCAGGAATCGGATTTTTCCTTGGAATTCCGTCTCCCAAAAAACTGCCGGGGCTCCCTCAGAGCACGGAATTAATTGGCAGCTAATTAATAATTATTAATAATTGCAATGAGCAGCTGCTCCTGAGGTTTTCCTGCTGCTTTCCCGGATTTTGCTGGAGTCCCTCCCTCGGTGTTCAACCCTTGGGTGACAACCAATTTCCTGGGATTAATGACGGTTTTTTTGGGATTAATGATTTTCTTTTTTGGGATTAATCATCCAGGATTCGGAGAAGGGAGCCCAGGGCGTGGTGGGTGTGGAATTAGGGAATGCAGGATTGCTGAATTTCCCACTCTTTGTCCTCTCTGCCAGCCCTGTTACCTGCGGGACTGGGAGATGCAGGTGCACTTCAAGATCCACGGGCAGGGCAAGAAGAACCTCAACGGAGACGGATTCGCCATCTGGTACACCAAGGACAGGATGCAGCCAGGTCAGCACCGTCCCTGCCTCGGGACAGGGGCCTGGGGACACCCGGGACACCTTGGAGAGGCCTTGGGGACACCTGGGACACCTTGGAGAGGCCTTGGGGACACCTTGGAAAGGGTTCGGGGACACCTTGGACAGGGCTTGGAGCAACCTGGACTTGGGGGACACCTGGGACACCTTGGATAGGGCTTGGCGACACCATGGACGGGGCTTGGACAGGGCTTGGGGACACCTGGGACACCTTGGAGAAGGGTCTGGGGACACCTGGGAGACCTTGGAGAGGCTTTGGGGACACCTGGGACAGGGTTTGGAGCAACCTGGACTTGCGGGACACTTTGATTGGGCTTGGGGACACCTGGGACACCTTGGAGAAGGGTCTGGGGACACCTGGGACACCTTGGAGAAGGGTCTGGGGACACCTGGGACAGCTTGGAGAGGGTTTAGGGACACCTGGACAGGGCTTGGGGACACCTGGGACACCTTGGATACCTTGGATAGGGCTTGGGGACACCTGGGACACCTCGGACAGGGCTTGGGGACACCTTGGACAGGGCTTGGAGCAGCCTGGGCTCCTCCACAGGGGTGGGACTGGATGGTCCTTGAGGACTTTCCCAAGCAAGTGCCAAACTTCTTCCCTGAGCCTCCCAACCTTTTCCCACCGTTTCTTTTTCCCCTTCCAGGACCTGTTTTTGGGAGCAAGGACAACTTCCTGGGGCTGGGAGTGTTCGTGGACACGTATCCCAACGAGGAGAAGCAGCAGGAGGTGAGGGCCACCAGTGTCACAGGCAGCTCTTCATCCTCAGAGCTCCTTCCTCCTCCTCCTCTTCCTCCTCCTCTTCCCATTCTTCCTGTTCCACTTTTGTCAGGGAAATTGGGAGAGAGATTTCGAGCTGAGCTCCAAAAAAAATCAAAAAGGTCAACAAGAGCTTGAGAAGGACAAAAAGAGCTCCAAAAAATCAAAAAGAGCTCCAAAGATCAAAAAGAGCTCCAGAAAAAGATAAAAGAGGTCCAAAAAGGTCAAAAAGAGATCTAAAAGGTCGTAAAGATCTCCAAAAAGAGTTCTAAAAGGTCAAAAAGAGATCTAAAAGGTCATGAAGATCTCCAAAGACCAAAAAAAGCTCCAAAAAGGTCAAAAAGAGCTCTAGAAATACCAAAAGAGCTCCAAAAAGGTAATAAAGAGTTCCAAAAGGACAAAAAGACCTCTAGAAGGTCAAAAAGAGCTCCAAAAACATCAAAAAGAGCTCCAAAAGATCAAAAAAAGCTCTAAAAAGGACAAAAATATCTAAAAGGTCAAAAAGAGGTCCAAAGACAAAAAAAAAAGCCCTCAAAAGGTCAAAAAGAGCTCCAAAAAAGTCAAAATACCTCCAAAAGATCAGAAGGAGCTCCAAAAGATTGAAAAGACCCCCAGAAAGACCAAAAGAGCTCCAAAAAGGTCAAAAAAGAGTTCCAAAAGGACAAAAAGACCTCTGGAAGGTCCTAAAGAGTTCCAAAAGGACAAAAGGAGCTCCAGGAAGGAGAAAGAAAAGCGAATTTCCCGTGACTTTGGGCCCTGCTGGACTCGGTGACCGTGTTGCTCTCTCTTGCTTTGTGCTAATCACGGAGGGCAGGCTCAGAAGAGGAGGTACAGCCCTGGAAACCAGGTACTGCCTCCCGCCCGCCCGCCCGGAGCTGCTCCCGGGGCCCGGGGAGGCTGCATGGAGCTGGAGCGGGGGCTCGGCGCCGGATCGTGGGAGGCGATCCCGAGGGATGGACCTGGGGCCATCCCGGCGGTGTCCGAGGAGGTTTCTGGGTTTGGGATCCCGAGGGATGGACCTGGGGCCATCCCGGCGGTGTCCGAGGAGGTTTCTGGGGTTTGGGGTCCGCAGGGATGGACCTTGGGGTCATCCCGATGGTTTCTGAGGTTTCTGGGGTTTGGGGTCCACAGGGATGGACCTTGGGGTCATCCCGGCGGTTTCTGAGCAGATCATTTGGGATGAGGGACTTTGGGATCGTTCCAGTGTTGGTTGGAGAACTTTGGGATCATTCAGTGTTGTGTTGAGCAGATTTCTGTGGGGTGAAGGATTTTGGGATCGTTCCCATGTTGGTTGGAGAACTTTGGGATCATTCCAGTCTTGGTTGGAGAATTTTGGGATCATTCCCATGTTGTGTTGAGCAGATCTCTGTGGGATGAAGGATTTTGGGATCGTTCCCATGTTGGTTGGAGAACTTTGGGGATCATTCCCATGTTGTGTTGAGCAGATTTCTGTGGGTGAAGGACTTTGGGATCGTTCCCACATTGCTTGCAGGACCTTGGGGTCGTGGTTGTAGAACTTTGGGATCACTCCAGTGGAGTCTTTCACCGAGCTGACTCCTGTGGGGTGAAGGATTTTGGGATCATTCCAGTGTTGGTTGGAGGACTTTGGGATCATGGAAGGACTTAGGGGTCATGGTTGGAGCACTTTGGGATCACTCTGCTCTTCCACTGAGCTGACTCCTATGGGGTGAAGGATTTTGGGATCATTCCAGTGTTGGTTGGAGAACTTTGGGGTCATTCCCTCGCTGTTTGGAGCACATCCCTGTGGGGTGAAGCACTTTGGGGTCATTCCCACATTGCTCGGAGGCCTTTGGGGTCATGCTCGGAGAACTTTGGGATCACTCTGCTCTCGCACTGAGCACCCCCATCCCTGGCCCACCTCCCTTCCCAGCACCTCCCCGCCATCCCAAACCTCCTCCTCCAGGGATCCCACTCCCATTTTCCCCCCTCTCCGGGCAGCGCGTGTTCCCCTACATCTCCGCCATGGTGAACAACGGCTCGCTGACCTACGACCACGACCGCGACGGGCGCCCCACCGAGCTGGGCGGCTGCACCGCCATGGTGCGCAACCTGCACCACGACACCTTCCTGGTCATCCGCTACGTCAAGCGGCGCCTCACGGTCAGACGGGGGCTCCAGATGGGGACTGGGGGGGTTTGGGGGCTCCACGTGGGGTTCCCAAGTGGATCTGGTGGGGTTTGGGGGCTCCAGATGGGGTTCCCAAGTGGATTTGGGGTTCCCAAGTGGATTTGGGGGTTCTAAGTGGGATTCCCGAGTGGATTTGGGGTTCCTGAGTGGATTTGGGGGCTCCAGGTGGGATCTGGGGGGGTTTGGTGGCTCCAGGTGGGGTTCCCAAGTGGATTTGGTGTTCCCGAGTGGATTTGGGGGTTGCAGTTGGGAATCCAGAGTGGATTTGGGATTCCTGAGTGGATTTGGAGGTTCCAGGTTGGGTTCCCAAGTGGATTTGGGGTTCCCGAGTGGATTTGGTGGTTCCAGATGGGATTTGAGGGTTCCAGGTGTGATTCCCGAGTGGATTTCAGATTCCTGAGTGGATTTGGGGGCTCCAGGTGGGATCTGGGGGGGTTTGGGGGCTCCAGGTGGGGTTCCCAAGTGGATTTGGGGTTCCCAAGTGGATTTGGGGGTTCTAAGTGGGATTCCCAAGTGGATTTGGTGTTCCCGAGTGGATTTGGGGGTTGCAGTGGGGATTTGAGGGTTCCAGGTGGGATTGCCCAGTGGATTTCAGATTCCCGAGTGGATTTGGGGGTTGCAGTTGGGATTCCAGAGTGGATTTGGGATTTTTTCCCCACACCTTCCCCTCCTACACAACGTCCTCTTGAGCACCGGCACCTCCCAACGCAAAAACCTTCAAATCCTCCAGCTTTAACCTCAGCTCCTCAGCGTCTTCCTTGGATCCTAAACCTCAATTTTAACCCCAGTTTTAGCTCTTGAGGCGGTTCAAACCTCAATTTTAAGCCCAATTCTAGCTCTTAAGGCGGTTCAAACCTAAATTTTAACCCCAGTTTTAGCTTTCAAGGCGGTTCAAACCTAAATTTTAACCCCAGCTTTAGCTCTTGAGGCGGTTCAAGCCTCAATTTTAAGCCCAGCTTTAGCTCTTGAGGCGGTTCAAGCCTCAATTTTAAGCCCAGCTTTAGCTCTTGAGGCGGTTCAAACCTCAATTTTAAGCCCAGCTTTAGCTCTTGAGGCGGTTTTAGGCGCAGGGCGGGAGAGGCTCAGGCACTTCCCTGGCAGGTGCTGATCGACATCGACGGCAAGCACGAGTGGCGCGACTGCATCGACGTCCCCGGCGTGCGCCTGCCCCGGGGCTACTACTTTGGGACATCCTCGGTCACCGGGGACCTGTCAGGTACGGCCCGGGGGCTCCGGGGGGTCCCAAGGGGATTTTTAGGGGCTTTGGGTGGGGTTCTCAGGTGGATTTGGGGTTTTTTTTTTGGCAGACAACCACGACATCATCTCGCTGAAGCTGTACCAGCTGACGGTGGAGCGGACGCCGGAGGAGGAGAAGCGGGATCGGGAAGTTTTCCTGCCCGTGGTGGACAACCTGAGGCTGCCGGGAAGTGAGTGGGGTTTGGGGAATGTCCCATCCCAAAATCCAAAATCCCATCCCAAAACCCAAAATCCCATCCCAAAATCCCAAACTCCCATCTCAAAATCCCACCCCAAGCTACCAAACTCCCATATGGGGAGTTTGGATCCCATCCCAAAATCCATATTTGGATCCCATCCCAAAATCCCCCACTCCCAGCCCAGAATCCCACACTCCCAGCCCAAAATCCCCCACTCCCAGCCCAAAATCCCAGTCCCATCCCAAACTCCCATCCAAAAATCTCAAACTCCCAAAACCCCAAATGTGGTCCTGCGTCCCACACTGGAGGCGTCGCTGGAGCCCATGAGTGGCCTGGCCCTGTTCCTCATCCCCAAATCCCAAACTCCTGTCCCCAAACCCCAAATCCCTGTGTCCCACAGTGGAGGCACCAATGGAGCCCATGAGTGGCCTGGCCCTGTTCCTCATCTCCCCAAATCCCAAACTCCTGTCCCCAAATCCCATCCCCAATCCCTGTGTCCCACAGTGGAGGCGCCACTGGAGCCCATGAGCAGCCTGGCCCTGTTCCTCATCCCCAAATCCCATCCTAAATCCCATCCCCAATCCCTGTGTCCCGCAGTGGAGGCGCCAATGGAGCCCATGAGCGGCCTGGCCCTGTTCCTCATCCCTGAATCCCAAACTCCTGTCCCCAAATCCCAAACCCCAAATCCCTGTGTCCCGCAGTGGAGGCACCAATGGAGCCCATGAGTGGCCTGGCCCTGTTCCTCATCGTCTTCTTCTCGCTGGTGGCCCTCGTCTTCGCCATTGTCATCGGCATCATCCTCTACAACAAGTGGCAGGAGCAGAGCCGCAAGCACTTCTACTGAGCCCAGACCCCTGGGGTGGCCCAGCCCGGGCTGGCGGTGGCCACGTCCCCATTGCCACCCGTGCCAGGGTGCCAGGGAGCCCCAAAGGACGGTGCCAGCCTGGCTGAGGGGTGCAGAGACTCCCCAGCGCTTGTCCCGTTGCTGTGGCCACCAGAGACTGCCCAGGTGCCACCATCTGGATGTGCCCACCAGAGACTGCCCAGGTGCCACCATCTGGATGTGACCACCAGAGACTGCCCAGGTGCCACCATCTGGATGTGACCACCAGAGCCCCCCTGGATGAGCCCCACTCCGGACTTTTGGCGGCCACATCCCCATTGCCACCTGTGCCAGGGCATCCAGGACCCCCCAGATGCCTGGCATGGGGACGGTGCCAGCCTGGCTGAGGGGTGCAGAGACTCCCCAGCGCTTCTCTCATGGCTGTGGCCACCAGAGCCCCTCCCGAGGAGCCCCACCCTGGCACGTCCTGGTCACATCCCCATTGCCACCTGTGCCAGGCATCCAGGACCCCCCAAATCCCTGCCATGGGGACGGTGCCAACCCAGCTGAGGGGTGCAGAGACTTCCCAGGTGCCACCATCCAGCTGTGGCCACCAGGACCCCCCCTGGACGAGCCCCTCTGGGCTGGGACGAGCCCCTCCGGGCGCTGCTGCTGCTTTTCCCGGCTGGATGAACTGGAAGTGCCCCCTCCTCAGTTTTGGGGGTCCCCCTGCCCATTTCCCAGCATGTGGCCACCCCTGCATGTCGTGTCCTGGGGCTGCTCCTACCTCAGGCCCTGCCAGCCACAGCGGGTGCCCAGCTCGCCTTGGGGGTGCCCTGCGCACTCGGGCTGGCATCGCCCTCCTCGCCAGGACCCACCAGGATCCCAGCCCTGCACCCTTCCAGGATGGGCCCACCCAGGACAGGTGGTGCCCACCCAGGACAGGTGGTCCCCGGCAGGGTTTTGGTGGCCCCAGGGTGGTTTTTGGGTAGGTTTTGGTGGCCCCAGGGTGGTTTTTGGGTAGGTTTTGGTGGCCCCAGGGTGGTTTTTGGGTAGGTTTTGGTGGCCTCAGGATGGGGTTTTTGGGTGGGTTTTGGTGGCCCCCAGGCTAGGAGAGGACTGGAGGGATTGTCCACGCTGGGAGCTGTTTCCAAGGAGAGTTTTCCCAGAGTTTTGTTTTCTTTTTTGGGCCGATCTGGTGGCGTGTGCCTTGCCTGGAGCTGTGCCCAGCTCCCCGGAGGGTGAGGAGGGGACTGAGGGGATTGTCCATGCTGGCACTGGGGAGCCGGGAGCTGTTTCCAAGGAGAGTTTTCCTGGAGTTTTGTCTCTTTTTGTCGTGTCTGGGCCTACAGGGAGGGGTCTCTGAGGGTCCCTGTCCCATTTCTGGGGTGCTCAGGTTTATGGGGAGGCATTTCTGAGGGTCCCTGTCCCATTTCTGGTGGTCCCAGTCCATAGGGAGGGGTCTCTGGGGCTCCCTGTCCCATTTCTTGGGGTCCCAGCCCCACTTTTGGGGGGATTTGTGTGGGTGGCGAGTGACACATGGGGACAGCAGAGATCAGCCACAGCATTTGGTGGCATTTTTGCCAATTTTATTTTGTCCCTTACCTCGAGCAGACACCGGGGGGTTCCCCGCTGGTGTCCGCCGTCCGTCCGTCTGTCCCTCCCTCCGGGCCAGTCGAGACTCCGGGGCCATCCCGGGGCTCCGGTACCGGGCTGGGGGGGCTCCAGGACATTCCGGGGCTCCGGTGCCGGACCGGGGAGACTCCGGGGCCATCCCGGGGCTCCGGTGCCGGGCTGGGGTTGACTCCAGGACACTCCCGGGGCTCTGCCGCCGCTCCCATCGCTGGAGCCGCACTAACCCAGGGCACCTTTGGGGTCACTCCAGCCTCTCACGCATCCACGCCGTGCCCACTGCCGGACGGTGGAGGTGACACCAGTTATTCCAAATAACCAATCCCGTGGTATTTACGGTGATTTTCAGCCCGTTTGGCGCTGCCGCGGTCGCTCCGGGTCCCCATTGCGGCCCGGCCCCGGCGGCTCTCCCGCCGCCCGAGCTGAGGACCTCAATCAATCATTTTTGGGGCTGGACCCCATTGGCTACCGCCGGCTGGGGCGGGGTTTACGAGGTACATAAGGGACGGGAAGGCGCGCGTCCCTCAGAGCTGCTCCCGCCGGTCTTTGGGTCTGACTTCGTCATGGCTGCCGCGCTCCAGCCCCTCCGTGCCCTCCGCCGCGCCGCGGTGGAGCCCCGCGCCCGCCGCCTGCACCTCAGCGCCGCCCGGTACGACCGGGACACCGGGGGATGTGCAGGGATGCTTGGGAGGGAGGTGGGAGCAGCGCCCGCCGCGCTCCGCCCGTCCGGCGCGCTGAGGGCTGTGAGGGGAGAGGCCCGGCCCGGTTCGGTTCGGTCGGTCCCCGGGCCGGGGTCGCGGCTCGTTTGGCCCCGGCAGTTCTGGGGGTGGCGGGCGGGCCCCCAGCGGCTGCGGCGGGAGCTGCAGGCTGATGAAATCCCGCGGCCGCCTTGCGTGGGAGTGCGGGGCTGCCCCGGCACGGGGGCAGAGAGATCGCCTCAGAGCGGGGCTGCCCCGGCCTGAGGGGAATGGAGATGCCCCGGCCTGAGGGGGACAGAGATCGCCTCGCACCGGGGCTCCTCCGGGGCCAGGGGGACAGAGGTATCCGGGATGAGGGGGACACAGATCGCCTCACACCGGGGCTGCCACGGCGTGAGGGGAACGGAGACACCCCGGGGTGACAAGGACAGAGACCGCCCGATCATCCCCCGAAATGAGGGGGACAGAGACCCCCCGGGCACTGGGGTGAGAGGGACAGAGACCCCCTGAGAAAGAAGGAGACCACCCCTCCCCTCTTCTTGGTTATTCCTTGGCATGAGGGGGACAGAGAGCCCAGAACATTCCGTGAGGTGACAGGGACAGAGACCACCCTGAGCACTCCCTGGTGTGACAGGAACAGAGACCCCTGAGCGTCCCACCCTGCTCCAAACAATGTTTGGACAACATCCCCAGGGTTGCACAGGGCAGGATTTTGGGGTGTAATCAACGATCCAGGTGGATCCAGCTCCAGATATTCCAGTTCTGCCCCATGTGGCCCCAGCTTTGATGCTGGAACCGAGCCTAAAACGTGACCGAGCACAGAGGTGCCAAAGGCCCTGATAAAGCACAAGCGATGGAGCTTTTGCCCTCCTGGTTTCCTGCTCCATCCTGCCCGGGGCTGGCAGCGGAGTGCCCGGGGCTGTGCTGACCCTTTCCCTTTTCCCCCCGGGTTTCCTGCCGGGGTTCGGGGCTGTGCTGACCCTTTTCCCCCCGGTTTCCTGCCCGGTCCTGCCGGGGTTCGGGGCTGTGCTGACGCTGCTCCCGGGCAGGGGGGACGCCGTGGTGATCTCGGGGCGGAAGCTGGCGCGGCAGATCCGGCAGGAGGCGCGGCACGAGGTGCAGCAGTGGGTGGCTGCCGGCAACCGGAGGCCGCACCTGAGCGTGGTGCTGGTGGGGGAGAACCCGGCCAGCCACTCCTACGTGCTCAACAAAACCAAAGCAGCGGCTGATGTGGGTGAGTGAGTGGGAGCTTTCCTTCCCAGTTTGGTGGGGAATCCTCGGTGCTGGGAGCTTTTTTTTTGGGATGTACCCACCTGTTGGTTTTTGGGTTTCACCCGGAATTTGGGTTCTTGTGGCTGCCCGGTTGTACTGGGGTGTGGTTGGATGTGATCAGTTGGATCCTTCAGGGGAGGATTGGGCTTTTTCAGCTTTCCCAAAGCCATAGAAAGCACAGGAGGGGATTTTTAGCCTCCTTTTCCCCATCTGCCTGGGACACAGCCCCTGTTCAGCAGCAGCTCTCTGGCTCCATCCTGCAGTCTGAGGTCCTGCTCGGGGTCAGGGCAATAAGTGGTGTCTTTTAACCTGGGTCTGAACAGCTGGAGCTGGGATTTTGAGGCAAACATCCCATTTTTACTGTGTCCAGAGGCCATGTGGTTTTATTTTTGTGGCCACTGTCTCAGGCCAGGTGGTTTTATTTTTGTGGCAGCAGCCTTTGCTTGGGTTTCTTTGTGCTCTGGCAGGGTCCCAAAGCCTCTTTCCCAGGCCAGCAGCCCCATAAAATCATCCCCAACAACAAATCCCAAATCCCAAGGCCTGTGAAGGTCTCTCCAGCCTGGGAGCTGCACAAACCCTTCCATGCTCTGCGTGCACCACCCACATTTAGCCAGGCAACAAAACAGGGTGGAAAATGCACAAAATGTGGGGAATTCACTCTTTGGTGCCTGACTGCCACCATGGATTTGGCGATTGCAGGGATCAGCAGCGAGACCATCCTCAGGCCGGCCTCCATCAGCGAGGAGGAGCTGCTGGAGCTCATTGCCCAACTCAACAGCGACACGGCCGTGGACGGGCTCCTGGTGCAGCTCCCCCTGCCTGGTGAGCAGCTCAGTTCCCCTCCTGCATTCCCAGAGAGCTCCCAAGGGGGGGACCCTGCCCTGCTCTCCCCCTCAGCAGCAGCTGCCTGCAGGGTTCAGTCTCTGGCTCGTGGCAGCCGTGCCTGTGTGGCACTGTCAGCTCCCCCAGATGGCTGTGGGTGGCCTTGGGTTGCCTGATAAATGCCCTCAGTGTGAGCAGTGTCCAGTGCCTGTGCTGGGAGCTGCCACTGGGAGGGCTGGGGACAGTCAGGCCCCACGCTCTGCAGGGCTGAGCTCAGGGTCAGGGTCAGCATTGCAGCTCAAGGGCAGAGCTGCAGTTTGGGGCTGCAATCCCAGCTCAGGGCCAGAGCTGCAGTTTGGGGCTGCAATCCCAGCTCAGGGGCAGAGCTGCAGTTTGGGGCTGCAATCCCAGCTCAGGGTCACAGCTGCAGTTTGGGGCTGCAATTCCAGCTTGGGGCTTGGGGTTGAAATTCCAGCTCAGGGCTCGGGGTCAGAGCTCCAGTTTGGAGCCATAATTCCAGCTCAGGGTCACAATTGCAGCTCAAGGCTTAGGGTCACAATTCCAGTTTGGGGTCACAATTCCAGCTCAAGGTTTAAGGTCAGAGCTCCAGTTTAGGGTTGCAATTCCAGCTTAGGGTTCAAGGTCACAGCTCCAGTTTGGGGTGACAATTCCATTTCAAGGCTCAGGGTCAGAGCTCAGGGCCTGGGATCATGATTCCAGCTCAGGGCTGCAATTCCAGGTCAGGACCTGGAGTCAGAGCTCCAGGTTGGGGTCCCAAGTCCAGTTTGGGGTCCCAATTCCAGCTCACGGTCACAATTCCAGTTTGGGGCTGCAATTCCAGTTCAAGGTTTAAGGTCAGAGCTCCAGTTTGGGGTTGCAGTTCCAGCTTGGGGTTCAAGGTCCCAGCTCCAGTTTGGGGTGACAATTCCAGGTCAGGGCTCAGGGTCACCATTCCAGTTTGGGGTCACAATTCCAGCTCAGGGTCAGAGCTCCCGTTTGGGGTCAGGGCTCCATCCCAGGGCTCAGAGCAGCTGTCAGCACATCTGGCAGCACATCTGGCAGCCCAGCCCAGCCCAGCTGTGGCCCTGCCCTCTGCAGAGCACATCGACGAGCGCCGGGTGTGCAACGCCGTGAGCCCGCACAAGGACGTGGACGGGTTCCACGTGCTCAACGTGGGCAGGATGTGCCTGGACCAGGACTCCATGCTGCCCGCCACGCCCCGCGGCGTCTGGGAGATCATCCAGAGGACAGGTGAGGGCTCCTGGGCATTTCTGGGCATTCCTGCTCAGGTGAGGGCTCCTGGGCATCCTGGGCATTCCTGCTCAGGTGAGGGCTCCTGGGCATTTCTGGGGATTCTGGGCATTCCTGCTCAGGTGAGGGCTCCTGGGCATTCTGGGGATTTCTGGGAATTCCTGCTCAGGTGAGGGCTCCTGGGCATTTCTGGGCATTCCTGCTCAGGTGAGGGCTCCTGGGCATTCTGGGGATTTCTGGGAATTCCTGCTCAGGACACCAGGGACAGCGTGGCCAGGGACCAGGGAGGGATTGTTCTGTCCTGGGAGGGACATCAGGGACAGGGAGGGATTGTCCTGCCCTGGCCTAAGGTGGCCTGAGCTCAAAACTCACCCAGTTTTGGGATGTCTGGGCAGGGCTCCAGGGTGGGATTTTGGGGTGCTGTGCAGGGCTCCAGGGATGCCCAGGGTGGGATTTTGGGGTGCCTATTCAAGGCTCTCAGGGTGGATTTTGGGGTGCTGTTCTGGGCTCTCAGAGTGGATTTTGGGGTGCTGTTCTGGGCTCTCAGGGTGGATTTTGGGGTGCTGTTCTGGGCTCTCAGGGTGGATTTTGGGGTGCTGTTCTGGGCTCTCAGGGTGGATTTTGGGGTGCTGTTCTGGGCTCTCAGGGTGGATTTTGGGGTGCTGTTCTGGGCTCTCAGGGTGGGCTCAGCCGTCCCTGCCAGCCCAGGGCCGTGTGTGAGGCCGTGCTCTGTGCCCTGCAGGGATCCCCACGCTGGGCAGGAACGTGGTGGTGGCGGGCAGGTCCAAGAACGTGGGCATGCCCATTGCCATGCTGCTGCACACCGATGGCAAACACGAGCGCCCTGGAGGTAGGGCAGGGGCACCGCGGGGACAGAACCTCCCAGAGCTCCCTTGGGGCCTCCCAGAGCTGCCCTGGCCCCTCCCAGAGCTCCCTGGGCGCCTCCCAGAGCTGCCCTGGCCCCTCTCAGAGCATTCCTGGTGAAATCATCCTCGGTGTGGCCTTGTCCTGCCAGGGTTGTTCAGGGAAATTGGTCTGGAAAGGTCTCCAGGGTGATGAGGCCCAGCCATGGGCACCACAGCCCCCAGTGCCACATCCTCGTGTGTTCTGGACAATTCCAGGGCTGGGGACTCCTCCCTTTCCCTGTGTGGCCTCTTCCAATATTTTACAACCTTTCCATGATGGATTTTTCCCCATACCCAGCCCTAAACCTCCACAGCTTGAGGCTGTTTTGTTTCCTGGGAGCAGAGCCTGGCCCTGCCCTGGCTGCCCCCTCCTGTCCCCATGGAGTTGTGGAGAGCCAGAAGGGCCCCCCTGAGCTCCTTCAGCATCTCCTGAGCCTCCTTCAGCATCTCCTGAACCTCCTTCAGCATCTCCATGTCCTGTTCCACCCCTGAGCCTCCTTCAGCATCTCCTGGTCCTGTTCCACCCCTCACCTTCCTTCCTCATCTCCATGTCCTGTTCCATCCCTGACCTTCCTTCAGCATCTCCTGGTCCTGTTCCACCCCAAATCCCTGCCTGTCCCTCGAGGCTGATCCTGGGGCTCACCAGCAGCCCCTGATGTTCCTGAGGAGCACCTTGGAGCAAAGCAGGGGACCTGGCTGGCTTTGGGTGCTGAATGCTGTGGATTTGGTGCTGGGTGGGAATTCCTGGCCTGTGGGAATGTGAGTGACCAAATTCTTTGCTGAAAAAAGCAAAAGGCCCAGAAGTTTCTCTCCCAAATTAAGCACAAAGATCCTCACAGGACCTGTGGGGCTCCACCCCAGACCTGGGGCTGCCAGCTGGGCACAGGCTGAGGTCTGGCCTGGGTAATTCAGTAGTAAAGGAGCAGAACAAAGGAAAATTCCATTTGTGGGGTGTTTCAGCAGGAGCAAAACCCTCTTAGCTCAGTTTCCTCTGAGCCTCCAGGGCAGCTGGGCTGTGCTGGGCTGGCTCAGGGTCACTCCTGGTGTCCCTTGTGCCCGCAGGTGACGCCACGGTGACGATCTCACACCGCTACACGCCCAAGGAGCAGCTGAAGCAGCACACGATCCGTGCCGACATCGTGGTGGCTGCTGCAGGTCAGCCTCAGCACGGCTGGAACGTTCTGGAAGGGACTGGGGTGTCCTGGGGTGTCCCAGCCTCGGGTTTTGGGGTTCTGCCTCTGCAATGGGGGCAGCAGCAGCTGGCAGAGGCACCTGAGCACAGCTGGGCAGAGCTGGGGAGGCTTGGGGTGGGAAGGAACCCAGCAGGGTCCTGGATGCAGCCCCTGGCTCTGCACAGCACCCCAAAATCCACCCTGTAATCCCTGCACAGACACCCCAAAATCCACCCTGAGATCCCTGCACAGCACCCCAAAATCCACCCTGTAATCCCTGCACAGCACCCCAAAATCCACCTTGAGAGCTGCACAGCACCCCAAAATCCACTCTGTAATCCCTGCACAGACACCCCAAAATCCACCCTGAGATCCCTGCACAGACACCCCAAAATCCACCCTGAGATCCCTGCACAGACACCCCAAAATCCACCCTGAGATCCCTGCACAGCACCCCAAAACCCCACCCTGTAATCCTTGCACAGACACCCCAAAACCCCACCCTGTAATCCTTGCACAGACACCCCAAAACCCCTCCCTGAGAACATTGGGATGAGGGGGATCAGGGGGTGCATTTGCATTTCTTGGGATGCTTTAGATTGGAAGAAACCCTTCAAATTCCTGAATCCAGTAATCCTGGGGAGGCAGGGAATCCCAGCTGGGCTGGAACGCTGGGATCAGGGCATGTGCAGCCCCCCTGAGGCTGAGGGGGTTTGTGTTCCCCAGGCATCCCCAACCTGATCACGGCCGATATGGTCAAGGAGGGCGCGGCCGTCATCGACGTGGGCATCACCCGCGTGCAGGACCCGCTCACGGCCCGGCCCCGCCTCGTGGGCGACGTGGACTTCGAAGGTGAGGAGGGCTCAGGGTGAGCTCCTGGGATCAGGGTGAGCTCCTGGGGCTCAGGATCAGCTCTTTAGGCTCAGGATCAGCTCTTTAAGCTCAGGATCAGCTCCCTGGGCTCAGGATCAGCTTTAGTGGGCACTGGGGAGGGGACAAAGCCTGGTTTGTGTCACCGAGCTTGGGGACATTGCATGGGGAAGCTCCAGAGGAGCCCCCTGAGCCTCAGCAGTTGGGTCTCTGCCTCTGCTCCAACCCTGGGCTTGGATTTGCCATTTCTGTGCTAAAAATCAGCTTTTAGGCCTGGCTTTTAGTGCTTTTAGGCCCTGGTGCTTTCTGGCCCAGCTTTTTGCTGCTTTTGGGCCTGTTTGTTTGGCACTCGCAGATTTTGGTGCTTTTGGGCCCAGATTTTGGTGCTTTTGGGCCCGGCTTTTTGGTGCTGTTGGGCCTGGCTTGGTGCTTTTGGGCCTGGCTTTTTGGTGCATTTGGGCCCAGCTTTTTGCTACTTTATGGCCTGGCTTTTGGTCTTTCCAGAGCTCTGTGCTTTTAGGCCTGGCTTTTTGCTGTTTTGGACCTTTGTGCTTCCAGGCCTGGCTTGGCGCTTTTCCCCACCTCGGCCTCCACACCCAGGCTGGGCCTCGCCCCCAATCCTGTCCAGAGCCCATTCCTAAAGCCTTAATCCCGACAGAACCTGCGTGGCTTTAGGCTGGGGAGCCTGGCCTGGCCCTTAAGCCGAGCTTTTCCCCTCAGGGGTGAGGAAGAAGGCGAGTTACATCACGCCGGTGCCCGGCGGCGTGGGGCCCATGACGGTGGCCATGCTGATGAAGAACACGATCATCGCTGCCAAGAAACTGCTGAGGCCTTGTGAGCCCCGGGCCCTGCCCACCTAAACAGAGCCGGGCTTAACCAGGGGGCCCTCAGAGCTGGGCTTAACCAGGGATCCCTCTCAACACCATCATCACTGCCAAGAAACTGCTGAGACCCTGAGGGCTCCAGGCTCTGCCTGCCTGAACAGAGCTGGGCTTAACGAGGGGCCCCTCAGAGCCAGGCCTAAGCAGCCGTTGCAGCCGACAGGAAATGCAATATTTCAATGTTTGTTATTTATTATTAAAGCACCTGGGGCTTTTCCCCAGTGTGGGCTCACAGGTGGGGCTGAGCTGGGATTACCCAAACTCCTCCTGCTTGTGTTAGAGCTGGGATTACCCAAACTCCTCCTGCTTGTGTTAGAGCTGGGATTATCCATGCTCCTGCTTTGGTTTTGGGCTGGGATTATCCAAACTCCCCCTGCTTTGTATCCACACTCCTGCTTTGTGTTTGAGCTGGGATTACCCACACTCCAGTTTTGTTTTTGAGCTGGGATTACCCAAACTCCAGTTTTGTTTTTGAGCTGGGATTACCCACGCTCAGCTTTGTTTTTGAGCTGGGATTACCCAGTCTCAGCTTTGTGTTAGAGCTGGGATCAGCTGCCCTGCTCCCACAGGAGCTGTTTGGATCCTGGCGCTCCCGGCTCCCCCTCAGGGCTGGATCTGTAGTTTGAACTCTTCTCTAGAGGAATTACTTGAAAAAACAAATTAAAATTAAAGCCATACTTTAGTGCTGGGCCTGTGCAGGCCTGGGCTGGTGTAGCCTGTTCTAGAGTGCAGCTAGGCTGGGATTTTCTCACTCCTTGGATTAATGGGAAATGTCTAAACCCTGTTCTAGGCCGGGCTTTTCTCCCTCCTTGCACTGATGGGGAATTTTTAAGGCCTTTCTGTAACCAAAGAGCAGCCGGGGCTGGGCTCTCCTGCCCCGTGTGTGAAGTGTGAGCAGCGCAGGCGGCCTCAATAAATGTGAGAAAACCAAAACATTTCCTTGTGTGCCCTGGAATGAGGAGTTTGATAAGAACTGGATTTTCTAATCATTTATAATATTTAAATAATGTGATTATTGCAGGTCTAGAAAGGAGCAGGGCTTGGTTTTAAAGCCTATATAGAATGATATATTTTAATATCTCTATATAATTATTGATATATTCTCTATATAATGATATATTCTATATTTCTATATAATTATCTATAATTTATATTTATTATTATAAATTATATTTATGTATATAATTATATATATTTATATTTATATGACATCTTTTTTATATATAACTATATAGAATTATATATCTTTATATAAAATATAGACTATAAACTTTTATATTTATATATAATTATATTGATCTTTGATACCTATATAATTATATACAGAAATAATATATATAATTATATATATTTATATTTAATTCTATTTTATGTTTCTATATATAATTATATATTTAATATATTATTATATATTTTATATAATTCCCTTTTACATTTTTATATATAATTATATCTATTTTATATCGAGAATATTTATAGATATATATTTTATATATAATTATACATTATATATTTTATATCTAGAATAATTATAGATATATATATAGTTATATATTTTTAAAATTAGAAATATTTATTATTTTTAGGGTCCAGAGGGCCCCTCTGGCCCAAGCCTGGGAGGAATTTTGGGTTCCCCAATGAAGCACAGGAGGGCTCGGGCTGTGGGAAGTTTTTATTGGGTTGTGTCATGAGAAATCCAACCTGGTTCAGCACTGGAGGCTGAGACTGCTCCAAAAACCCCAAAACCTGGGGAACCTCACCCAAAAGGGACAAACTGAGCCCACAGAGCCGAGCTCTGCCCAGGGAGAGAACAAAACCGGGCTTAAACCTTAAACCTGCCTGGAGCACGCTGCAGAGAGAGCGAGTTAAACCAGGCTTAAAACCTTAAACCTGCCCCCAGCACGCTGCAGAGAGAGGGAGTTAAACCGGGCTTAAAACCTTAAACCTGCCCAGAGCCCTGGGCAGCAGGGAAAGAATTAAACCAGGATTAAGACCTTGGACCTGCCTGGAGCACTCTGCACCCTGGCAGGGTTTGGGTGTTACCAGGGCAGGGTTTGGGAATGCCCAGGGCAGGGTTTGGGCAGTGCCAGGGCAGGGTTTGGGTGGTGCCAGGGCAGGGTTTGGGCGGTGCCAGGGCAGGGTTTGGGCAGGGCCAGGGCAGGGTTTGGGCAATGCCCAGGGCAGGGTTTGGGCGCTGCCTCGAGTCCCCGGAGCTGCAGCAGAACCAGAAGGAGAAATGCCATAAACAGGGAACGGCCTTCGAGTCTCAGGGGATTTGGGTATTTACAGGGGTCAGGACCAGAGCAGTAACAGGGCTGAGCTGGTGCCCAGTTACTGGGTTGAACTGGTGCCCAGTTACTGGGTTGAACTGGTGCCCAGTTACTGGTGTCACTGGTTTGCAGTGTGTGACTGGTGTCCTATGTACAGTGCTGAACTGGGGTCCCAGTTAAAGTGTGTGACTGGTGCCCAGTCCCAGTGTTGAACTGGAGTCCCAGCTGCAGTGTGTGACTGGTGTCGTATGTACAGTGTTGAACTGGGGTCCCAGTTAAAATGTGTCACTGGTGTCCCATTTACAGAGTTTGTGTCACTGGTGTCCCATTTACAGAGTTTGTGTCACTGGTGTCCCAGGGGAGCCCCAGTGCCTCTGGTGTCGGTGTCGGGTCAGTTCTGCTCAGGGGAAGGCCCTGGGGGCTCTGGGAGGGGAAACCCCAAAGGATTCATCCAGGAAAAATGAGAAGAAATCAATTCCAGGGCTGGGCCGGGGCCGTGGCTGGAGAGAAGGAAAATTCCTTTAAACCCTTGGGAAGGCTGGGAAGAGCACAGGGAGCCTGGACCCCCACCCGGGCGGGAGGAGCCCCCTGGAGACCCCAAAACGCTGCTGGGCCCTGGGCGGAGCTGCTGGGGGAAACTGGGAGCACTGGGACAGGGTGGGAATGGAGCCCCTGGGCAGCAGAGCCAGGGGAAATCCTGGATTCCTGCAGGGAGGAGCCTCAGCTTCCCCCACCAGGGATTCCTGCATAGGGAACCCTTGGATTCCCCATCAGGGATTCCTGCATAGGGAACCCTTGGATTCCCCACCAGGGATTCCTGCATAGGGAACCCTTGGATTCCCCATGAGGGGATTCCTGCATAGGGAACCCTTGGATTCCCCATGAGGGGATTCCTGTGTTCCTGAGGATGGGGCGTGGGCCACCCAAGGGCTTCGCTGCAGCCACCGTTCCCATTTCCCTGTGGAAACCAGCCTGGATTCCATCAGGAACCAGCCCTGACTCCCTCCTCAGCCCAGGTGCTTCCTCCTCTTCATCCCCATCTTGTTGTGTTTCCTCCTCCTCCTCCTCCTCCTCCATCCCCATCCCAGGTGCTTCCTCCTTTTTCTGGGTCCGAAATCACCGATCCCACTTTTCTTTGCCAAAATCACAATTTCCACCTTTCCTGTGCCACAATCACCAATCCCACCTTTCTGGCCCCATTTCGCCGCCAGCGGCGTTGCCTTCACCCAGTGGGAAGAGAGGGAATTATGGAGAGTGCGACCCTAAAACGCACTGGGGTGCAGGGCCCTAAAACCCACGGGGGTGTGGGACCCTAAAACCCACCGGGGCCCATGACCCCAAATCCGCCAGGGTGTGGGACCCTAAAATCCACCGGGGTGTGGGGTCCTAAAATGCACCGGGGTGTGGGACCCTAAAACGCACCAGGGCGTGCGACCCTAAATCCACTGGGGTGTAGGACCCTAAATCCACTGGGGTGTAGGACCCTAAATCCACCGGGGTGTAGGACCCTAAATCCACCGGGGCACGGCGCCACCAGGGCCGCCTGTCCGGCAGAGAGGAGCGCCCCGGTTTCCTTTCTCCGTCCGTGCCCGCGGCGCTATCTACCTAGCTAGACATAAATTAAATTAAAGTCGGGCCCCGGCGGGCGGGGCTATAGCGTGGTCTCGCTGCCCATGTCCCGCGGGGCCTTCTCGGTGTCGCTGTCCTCGTAATCCGACTCCATCTCGATCTTCACCTGGGGCACGGCACAGATGGGGTTGCGGGAGTAGTTAAAGGCGGGAGACGACGGGCACGAGATCTTCAGGTGCAGGGTGATACTGGGGGGGAGAGGGCGGTGAGCGGCCAGGGGGGCCGAGCCCGCCCCGAGCCCGCCCCGAACCAGGGCCAAACCCGCCCCGAACCGGGGCCAAACCCGCCCCGAGCCCGCCCCGGGAGGGTCCCGGTTACCTGCGATCCATGTCCGAGCCGTTCGGGGACGAGTCAGAGCGCAGAGCTCCAGGTGGGGGCCCTCGTTCCTGGGGGGACACGCAGCTGAAACGCTGCCCAGGTGACCCCAAAAATCCCCCTGGGCCAAAATCACCATTTCCACCTTTCATGGCCCAAACCACCAATCCCACCTTTCTGGGCAGTGGGAGGAGGAGGAGGAGGAAAACTCCTGGGAGTTGCAGATTTTGGGTGCAATCAGCCAGAGAAAAGGCCCTGCCAGCCCTGCCAGCAGATAAGGGGTTAAATGGAGCTCAAACCCTGGGGTCATGAAATGAACTCCCCCAAATTTATTCCAAGATTTTTTTTGGTGAAGGTGGAGCCAAACCTGCTCTTTCCCAGCCATAAAACTCCATCACAAGAAGCTTTAGGGGCCTCCAAATCATCCCAAACTCAGATATTTCTCACAAACCCCCATCAGCACCAGCTTGGGGGCAACAAAACCCAGGAGATTCCCGGATTTTATTTTGTGATTCATGGAAATCTCAGTGATCTTTGGGATGAGCAGCGCTCCAGTGGCTCTGGAGCTGGTGGATTTCTCCTGGTGGGTTTTCCCTGGTGGATTTTCCATGGTGGATTTTCCATGGTGGATTTCCCTGGTGGGATTTCCCTGGTGGATTTCCTTGATGAGTTTTCCATGGTGGGTTTCCCTGGTGGATTTTCTGGGGTGGAATTTCCAGGGTGGGTTTCCCCTGGTGGATTTTCCATGGTGGGTTCCATGCCAGACCCCCTCACTCAGCCGGTTCTGTCCCTGCCCTGGAACAGCTGCAGGGATCCCAGACCTCCATCCCAGTTTCCAGTGGGAATTGTCCCTCCCCAGCTCTGGGATGTCCCCCTGTCCTCGGGGGACCCCGTGCCCACCTCCTCGTCGCTGCTGCTGTCGCCTTTGTTGCCTTTCTTCTTCTTCTTCTTGTCATCCTCCTTCTTCTTCTCCTTCTCGGGGATGATGTTGTCGATCCAGGCCAGGTCGTGCTGGGAGAAGACGAAATCCAGGAGCCGCCTCACCAGGATCAAGGCCAAGATCTGACACGGGAGAGGTCCAGGAGCATCTCAACCCAAGGTCTGGTGGTGACCACCAAGCCAAAAATCCCTTCAATCCCAAAAACCCCTTTGGAGCGAGGAGGGGATTACCCACGATGGAGAAGATGGTGGCGGCCATGGTGGAACCATGCCAAAAATTCCATTAAATCCCAAAAAAAACCCATTTGAAGCAAGGATGGGATCACCATGATGGGGAAGATGATAATGGTGGGACCACGCCAAAAATCCTAAAATACCCTCCCAAGGTAGGATGGGATCACCATGACGGGGAAGATGGTGGCGGCCATGGTGGGACCACACCAAAAATCCCAAAAAACCCCTTTGGATCGAGGATGGGATCACCATGACGGGGAAGATGGTGGCGGCCACGGTGGGACCACACCAAAAATTCCATTAAATCCCAAAAAACCCCTTTGGATGGAGGACGGGGTTACCATGACGGGGAAGATGATGGCGGCCACGGTGGATTTGAGGATCCAGAGCACGGCCAGGCAGATGATCTGCACCAGGGTGAAGAGGTGGATGCGGCGCAGCGGGACATGCCGCAGGAACACGTAGTCGGGCTGGTGCTTGGCCGGCATCAGGAAGAGCTTGCAGCGATCCCAAAACTGCCCGGGGAGGAAGGCCAGGGTCAATCTTCA